TGAAAAGGGTACACACTAGGCAACAAAGGTGATTTGAGGCATATACTGAATGCATCATACACCAAAGTGCATGACAATCCACGTATAGGTCGCACGTTATTTCCTACAATGAACACATTCTGTCAAGGGGAGCTTTGTATAGCTCAAGGTGAGAAAATATTTCAGAATGAGTAATGATTCTGAAATATTTTTCAGATTTTTCAGGAACATTTCTTCATGGGATAATCTTTAGCACTTATAAGGCACGAAGTAATAAACAGCTGCTGAAGGTGATTAATAGTCAAAGCAAAGTTGAGGCATGTAATCAATCTCAAAAGCCATTTATTACTAGTCTTTTTCAAAGTGATAGACACTGTTAGTGTTTCATAGCAAACTACAGCATCAAGTATGGTGCGTATTTCTTTCCATTGGCAGGGTTCAAAAACATTTTGATGCTTTTTAGGACTTTCTAGCTGGTTTAGATTGTATACTGAAGGAACTTGCTCCTGGAGAAATCAGCTTGGTAGAGTTAATATTTACGATATCTTAATTAGGACCAACAAAAATTAATACCAATAACATGGTTGATATGTGTATGTATTCATCAGAAATGTTTATCAGATTAGATGTTAAGCTAATACTACATCTACTACCAATAATAATAGTAGGTGAATATAATAATATTTAATAATAATATTATTTTCCTGACTATATATCTGGCATAAGGAGAGTTCTTTATTAAATGCCTTTGTTTTTATTTTAATGCAATGTGTTTATTATACACTACTCAGAACTTGCATTTAGTTCTTCATTGCCTCCTCTGCTGTATACTGTGGTGCCCAAGTTCCTAATAGAAATCGATTATCTAGTTACTATCAAGAAGAGATATTCTCACTGAAAGACTATTTATTGTACAAAGATGAGGGGAAGTAAAATAAAATGGTCCCAGAATACAAAAGAATTACATCTGAATGCAGAACTGAGTGATATCCAGATCCTTCCTCCATCTTCAAATGTTTGATATATCTATATCTGTATATATAAGTGTGCACATGTGCCCACAGACAGCGCTTACCATATTTTAAAAAATGCCTCTAAACAATCTTGGACATTAGATCACAAGAGATCCCATAGATTTCATCTCAGACTCACACTTCCATTAACATGGCACACTCATTTGAAAGTGCGTTGAGGCTTGAGATAGGCTTAGCAAGGCATACCACTCTGGTAGAGCAATACGATTTTTCCTTGCCAATATTGTATACAATCATGAATAGCTGATGCTAACTTACTTTAGTGGGTTTAATGACAAACATTGTAGTGTAGCTTTGCATGGATATAATGGATTAATGAAATATCTGTATGTTAAAGAAAGAAAGGAGTGGGGCTTTCTTTTGATTAAAAATGGAGAAGAAAGGAATTTCAACTGTGAAGACATAGTGAGAGAATTACAAATGAAAGCTAAGCCCTCGAATAAAAATTAACTCTTGAACTTGACAACTTAGAGAATGGGAAGAAGAGAAATAATGTGCATATGAAAAAGATTAGAGAAGAAACCAAGAAAGCTTAGTGACTTTTACACAAAAGTATCTTAAGGCAATGATAATCATAGGGAAATGGTTTGTGTTCATTATTTTTTGCCTGCATCATGGTACTAGATTCAAAGTTCTTGACTGGATGGTCTGTAGGTAAAGATTCTGGGGAGGAAGCCAGAGAGAATAATGAATTGTCCATTATGTGGCAGAAAATGACTTTTGGAAATATTTTCCCTCTTTTGGCTCTTAAACCAAGAGGAGCATCAGAGAACAATGGAACACCAAGAATAATTAGTTAATTGCAGATTTTTTAAAATTTCTTTTGTGGTTCCTGTCTGCTGAGGGGGAATACATTGTGGGAAGAATATCAGCAGTATAATGAAATGATCTTCATGAACTTGGTGACACACTGACTTGGACCCAGACTTAATAATTCTTTGAGTAAACCCATTTGTGCCATGATATTTCTCAGAATGCATGCATAGGAATCAGAATACAGACTAGATTCAACTCTGCATATCCAATAGGGAGAAATCTAATTTCAACACTGATAATGTAAAATCAAGGTATGAAATGAAGCATAAACAAGATGACACATAAAATAATTTATTCCTATATATCACTTTTAAGGGACTGCAGGTGGCACAGTGGTTTAAACTGCTGTGCTGCTGGGCTGGTAGATCGAAAGGTCGCTGGTTTGAATCTGCACAACGGAGTGAGTTCCCGTTGCTCTGTCCCAGCTCCTGCCAACCTTGCAGTTCGAAAGCATGCAAATAGATAAAAAGGTACCACTTTGGTGGGCAGGTAACAGCGTTCCGTGCACTTTGGTGTTTAGTCATGCCGGCCACATGACCACAGAGACTGTCTGCGGACAAACGCTAGCTCCCTCGGCTAGGAAATGGAGATGAGCACTGCCCCCTAGAGTCAAGCATGACTGGACATAATGTCAAGGGGAAACCTTTACCTTTACTTTACCTTGTCATTTTTAAATCCCAGTCTATAGCCACATTGTGGAATTCATTTCCAAGCAAGTATGTTTATTTAGGTTATATAAAACATATCTTTTCATAGTGCTAGAAACAGTATTTTAAAATTGTCCTTGCAGTTTTTTGCAGGTTTGGTGACACCATGGTCAAATCAAATTTGCAGGGTTTTCTAGTACCTCTGACTTTTTCCTTTATGCAGAGGAATAGTTGCACATAATCTGTTCAAGTCAGTGTCACTATTCCATTGGTTGCTGTTGGCCATAAACAGTTATAAGGCATAAACTGTATGCTACATGGGAGATATATGATCTCCCTGGGGTTTTTAACATTTAAACACCTGCAAATAGCTTTGAATGAGATTGGAGTTGTGATACCCGGGAAGGTTGTCTCACTCTTTTATTCTATACCATTTCCCCAATGGAAATAATCTTCTAAGCTACTGTGGGAAAAGACTGTCTATTGGGGTAAGTGGTTTTCAACCTGATCTGCAGAGGAATACACTTCTCCTAAATCACTATGTATTTGCCCTATGTCCAGTAAAGACAAGATAATATAGTAAGGACACAATCCTATCAGTGCTGGGATTGGTAGTTTTTTCCTGTCTTAATCTGCATAGAACTGTATCCTTCTTTGTCCTTTTTAAGTCTATTTATTCAGGTAGAATTAAGGGGAAGCCATATATTGAAAGGCACTGCCAATGTGGATGAGGCATGGAAACAATATCACACACACTTTTGGACTGTCCACTTTTTGAGGAGTTACGCACCAAGTTTCTAGGTTCAATTCTGATCAATATGAGAGCTCGGTCAGACCAGGAAATGGTCCATTTTGTTCTATTCATAGTTGGCTAATGTGGTGGAGAGAACAGCAGCCTTTCTGTGGGAGATTGTTAAGAGCTGCTTCTAGTGCCCATTAGTAAAGCTGTGGTTGGGGTGTCTCTGAGGGCTTGTGTGGATTTGTGCAGATTTGTATTGTATTGTATTTTGATGCTAATAAAGGTTCCTCCGCCACCTACTACTACTACCATGTGCTCTATAGAAACTGAACCTGGAAAATTAAGGAATAAAATTCTCATATGTATTAAGTAGATGTCCGGACACAAACATATCACAATAGAACATCTTTACACTTCTTAATGTATGTAACTTTTCAGGGCTGACTTGGGATGAAAAGCAGATCAAATTGGGGTATGTGTGAGAGTAGCATTACAATTACTACCATAAAAATAAATTCCACTTTTTGCAGAGAAAACTGAAAAAAGAGCACTGTTTACTTTTCTGTTACTTCCATGAAATGCTTCACAACATCATAGGGGAATGTCCTCTGCAGCACAATTCTATTAATTTTTATTAAGAGTGTTACCGAACTCAGCCAGCTTAGAGCGAGCCTGGGTTGAACCCAGACCCTGAGTCAACAGGAGCCTGAGATGAGACTTAGAGCCAAACCAGCTGTATTCTAGTGTACTATAGAATAAAGGGAGATGAAAGGGAGTATGTAGCCCAAAGCAGTGTCTCAAAAGTTGCATTCCAGTATATGTGTTTTATACCCTAGGTAAGCAATTAAGTTACCTAATACACATCTAATGCATCAATATATCAATGTAGCCACACACCCCACTGCTGTTAGCTTCAAAGAGTCCTTTCTTCTGTCAAGGACTGGACATTTCCCATGTCCATTTCTTATCTGCTCGAGATCCACACAGGCTTGCCACGTTCTTACTCCCTGCACATTTGCAAATTTCATGATGGCTATAACCAGTTTCCACTGTTCCTTTGATTACTGTATTGGAGGTCAAGCTAGCTTGTTTCAGGGAGTTCATTTTGTTCTTACCCCCCCTTCTGAGACAGGAAATTCAATATGGCTGTGGTTTTTTCCTATGTGGCCTCCCTCTAGCCAACTATTTTTGGAGCCTTCCTTTGGCCAACTACTTTTATGGTGTTTGGGGGTGCTGCAATTGGCAACAAGAGCTACCAACTTTAGTGTCTTGCCTTGTCCTGCATATTCACAAGAGAAAGTGAATTTAGTGTTAACTTCAAACTAGATTGATGAGAAAAATATTGGCTTTTATTTTAGCGAAAGGGATTCTGCATTTAATGACTTATTACAGCGAAGAGAAAGGCAAAGGTTCAAGGCAAAGGCTGTTGCGGTAACCAAGGCGCTGCTGGGGAATCCCTATAATGAAAAACATGCAGAGTTCTGTAAGCGGATATAACACAAATTAAGGACGAGAGGCCACTCTAGCCCAAACAATGAATAGTCTGTTACCACATGGACCACCTCTACTTCCATTTAACTACACCCTCCCAACAAGGATAGATTTGAGAAACCGCCTTAATAAGCCAGGGCAAAGTAAGGGTAGACGCTTACGTTGTTGCTACTGAATGTGCTTAAAATCACTGCGCATGCTTATTATGAACAACCGAGAACTAGTTATGGGCGGGATAAGGGCAGCTGCTTCGGTAGCTGCTACTGAGCATGCTCAGGATTAGAGGGGCAGTGGTGTCTTTTGCTAACTTTGGTGCTGCATCCGCTGAGACAAGGATCGCAGAAAGGATCTGTAGGTTGGCGTGACGGTCAGTCTGGTTTTCACGGATTCTTCACTGAAGTTCTTTCCTTCAGTAGCTTTGAGGAGATACGAGCCCAAGGTTTGTGCACGGTCTAGGGAACCGGAGTAGTTAAGCGAGGCCTGTTCGTGTGTCTGTGGTTGCTACGGTAACAGCCTGCTTGGCCGGTTTGCAGGGAACGGGAAGCCTTGAGCAGGAACTGTAAGGTCTGTCTGGCTTAATTCCTTGTTTTCAGATATGTATTTATATGGACGGGGTAAGATAGTGGACTTCGATGAGCTGCCAGGCCTCTTTCTGGTTTATTTATGGTATCACACTTGCCCCCTTGGGTCGTACACATGGGAAACTGGGATAACAGTTACTTCTGTTCAGACGTATTGATAGCTACTAGAATGCATTGATTCCTAGAAGATACTGGAAACTAAAGAAATAGTTAAAGGAAACAACAATATATTCTAAAAGATAGAGAAAATAAGAAAATATTCTTATCGGCACTGTTATCTCTTAGACCAAATGAAAGATGCTGGAAACAATGAATTGCTTGTGTATAATACTCAGTGCCTTGAATTTGTACTGAATAAAGCATAATGTGCAGAAGCAGATTTATTGGGGTGGTGTGACAGGTTAAAGTTTTGAAATAGTAATGAAATCTTGGGAGTACTTCTGAATCCATTCATTTGAAGTGTGTGATACTTCTTTGTAGCTGAGTTTCACAGCTCACAACACTGAAACTGCCCCATTCCTTAGACCAGGCTTCTCCAACCTGGTGCCCTCCAGTTATATTGAACTATAGTTTCCATCATTAGTAGACAATGGTCATGCTAGTGGGGAATGATAGAAGTTGCACTCCAATACATCAGGATAGCATCAGATTGAGGCATCCCTCAGAAAGTGTGTGTGTGTCTGTGTGAAATGGGATGTATCTAGGCCTAGGGAATTGCTCCAAATAGTAAATTGGTCTAAAACTGCTGTGTCTTGGATAGCTGTTGTCCTTGAACTGATCTTTCTGTTCCATGTAGAGCAGCAGTGATTATTTCAGGAATAATCCCAACTGGTACCAGACTTGATATTCATGATGTTCTCTTCTGGCAGTACTGTTAAGGATGCAATCCTATGCATGTTTAGACAGAAAAAAGTCCTGTAACTCTGAGCAATTTTCAGCCAACATTAGAAAATTGAGATCAAAAGAATGATTTATTCATTTGTTTATATTGTGGTGGACTAAATTTATCCCTAACTAATGACAAACTCAGATGATTGAGCACCATCAGGAACCTGTTAGGGGCTCTGGATAAATTACAAAAAATTATTGCAGGTTCCACTTGTTGGATCCTAATGTGAAAATGTCCAAACAGGTTGAAGTACAGAAGAACCCCTGTACCTGCAGGGATAGGTTTCAAGCCCCACAGTAGATACCTGAAACCATGGATAGTAGCAAACAATGCACTGTACATACTTGTAATAAAGTTTAATTTATAAATAAGGCAAAACAAGACATTAACAACAATAATAATACAATAGTAATAGTAAAAGTAGGCATTGTGTTAGGCTACTATTGGCCTTCTGACAATATGTCAGAAGGCTGACAAGCCACTTGATACCCCACTGCTTCCAAATTTCTGCCTATACACAAAGGCTTCAGCTCATTCCTCCTCTCTTCTGCCCCCAGGAACAGGCCTCTTCCTGGGCACCTATCCTCCAGTGCCCCATTCTGCCATCTTCCTCACTCCTACTCACCCAATGTGTATACTGAGTAGACAAATCAAGGAGGTGCCTGCTTGCCACTTTCAAACATCTGACATTTATCACTTCGGTCAGCCATAGTTAAGCAAGAACATGGTTGCTGCATCAGCAGATATGTATTTAATGAGGATTGTGAGGCTGTTAGGATGCTTTGTGCTGATCTACAATTGTACACATGAAACTCAAATCCAGGAGTGTTTATGAACATACAGAATCATAGAATCTTAGAACAGTAAAGTTGGGAGGGACCTAAACCCCCTGCTCAATGCAGGACTTGAAATTAAAGCATCCTTCACAGATGCCTGTCCAATGACCTCTTGAGTGCCTACAGCCTGGGAGAATCCACAGGTTCCTTAGATAATTGGTTCTATTGGCATAGAAGTTTTTCCTGATGTTCAACTGGAATCTGGGCTTCCTTTAACTTAAACCCATTATTTTGTGTCCTGCACTTGGATGGTTGAGAGGAGACCCTGATCCTCCTCCATGTGGCAGCCTTTCAAGTATTTGAAAAGTGTTATTCTCTCCTCTCCTCTCCTCTCCTCTCCTCCAGGCTTAAATATGCCCAGTTCTTTCAATCTCTCCCCACAGGGCTTTGTTTCCAATCCCGTGATCATCTTTGTTGCCCTCCTCTGAACTTTTCCAGTTTATCCACATATTTATTGATATGTAATGTCCAAAATTGGGCACAATACAATATTGACCAAGGGCCAATCTGCTATACATTTAATGTAAACATGAAGATTGTTTCATACCGATAACTTAATATTAATAATTATTCTATTATATCTATTTGTGTAATGTAGATAGAACAGGGATTAAAGTAAAAAATAATGAGAACCATTTCGACAATTATTTGTTGCAACCATTTGTTGGGGGGTGGGGGAGAAAGGGCGGTGGCACACCCTGACTCCTGAGAAGGCAGGGTCTCCTATCGCAGGGCCTTTTTAGAAGCTCAGTGCCTTGGGCGGCCAACACCATGCTCATTGGCCTATTATCGCCACCACTGCTGCCGCCCTGCCCCAGACCTGGCAAACTCTCCTCCACAACCCCTGCCAGAGCAGACAGGGCTGGCTGGAGGGAGAGAGAGTGGCACCGTGCCACACCCACCATGCCTGCACTGCAGCTGACTCTGGAGGAGGGAGAACCTCCCACTGCAGGACCTTTTTAGGGGCTTGGCACCTTGGATGCCACCCTTGGGTGGGTGCAGAAGGACAGCGCTGAAGGACATTGCCTGTTTGACACCTGTTTGTCATAATTCAAGGTGCGGACTCTTGGCCATGGGTTGTTGATTTGTTGTTGTATTTATTTATTTTTTGCTTGTTAAATATGATCGTTGTGAGTTTTATATGTATATTTTTAAAACTGTAAACCTCCCAGAGAGCCCAAATGGGCTATTGGGCAGTTTAAAAGTGCAGCAGCAGCAACAACAATAATAACTTGAGGAGAGCTATTGAAATGTATGCTGTTTTAGCTATGTGTACGCAATAGCTCAGTTCAGACATTGTATCAGACAATCGATGGAGCTTAACAGTACAATTTTATGTTCATCTACTCAGAAGAGAGGCCAGTTGAATTTACTCCAAGGTAAATGTGTATGCTCCTTCATGGATCACATTAAGAAAGACTTATGACAAATTCTCAGTGTATGTTCAAAATGTCATGGATCACTGCCTTGTCGTGGTGAAGGGGCTCGTGTAGTTCAATGAAGCTATGAGCTATGCCGTGCAGGGTCACCCAAGATGGACATGTCATAGCAGAGAGCTCTGACAAAACGTGATCCACTGGAGAAGGAAGTGGCAACCCACTCCAGTATCTTTGCCATGAAAACCCCATGGACAGTACCAAAAGGCAAAAAGATATGATGCCGGAAGATGAGCCCCTCAGGTCGGAAGGTGTCCAATATGCTACTGGGGAAGAGCAGAGGGCTAGTACTAGTAGCGCCAGAAAGAATGAAGCGACTGGGTCAAAGCCGAAAGGACACTCAGTTGCTGATGTATCTGGTGGTGAAAGGAGAGTCCGATGCTGCAAAGATCTATACTCCATAGGAACCTGGAATGTAAGATCCATGAATCAAGGCAAGCTGGATGTGCTCAAACAAGAGATGACAAGACTGAACATCGACATCTTAGGAATCAGTGAACTGAAATGGACAGGAATGGGTGAATTTAATTCAGATGACCATCAGGTATACTACTGAGGGCAAGAATCCCTCAGAAGAAATGGAGTAGCCTTCATAGTCAATAAAAGAGTAGGAAAAGCAGAACTGGGATACAATCTCCAAAATGACAGAATGATCGCAGTTCGAATTCAAGGCAAACCATTCAACATCGCAATAGTCCAAGTCTATGCCCCAACCACTGATGCTGAAGAGACTGAAGTTGACCAGTTCTATGAAGGCCTACAACACCTTCTAGAATTAACACCCAAAAATGATGTCCTTACCATCATAGGGGATTGGAATGCTAAAGTAGGAAGCCAAAAGATAACCAGAATAACAGGCAAGTTTGGCCTTGGAGTACAAACTGAAGCAGTGCACATACTGGTAGAATTTTGGCCACCTGATGAGAAGGAAGGACTCCCTGGAGAAGAGCCTAATGCTGGGAACAATAGATGGCAAAAGAAGAAGGGGACAGCAGAGGATGAGGTGGCTAAATGGAGTCATTGAAGCAGTTGGTGTGAGCATAAGTGGACTCTGGGGGATGGTGGAGGACAGGAAAGCCTGGAGGAATGTTTTCCATGGGGTCGCAATGGGTCGGACACGACTTCACAACTAACTAACAACAACAAAATGTGTATGAGATTGTACACTAAATGTAGTTTGACACGTTCCTTGAATTGGTAAGCCATGTTTTGTGAAAAGCTGGTAAGTTATAGAAATCATGATTTAGAGAGTGTTGGCAAACCATGGTTTGTGTACATGGGATTTGGCTTGAATTTTGAAATGACCAGCCATAGTTATGGCTATTGCACAGTTTGTGAAGTCCATTGCATTATAGCAAGATGAGTGAATTTACAAATTTATAAATTTGTTAAGGGAGGAAATGGAAGCAGACAAGCAACTTTAAAGAATAGTTTGACATATTATACATTTCAAAGCTTAGACCATGAGTTCTCTTTTTAAAGACAGTCAGTGCAAACCATGATTTGCTGTGATGGCTTAACTGAGCCAATAAAACCTTAAGTGGATTACTTCCAGTGTAAGATCCTAGCTCTAAATATTTGTAGCTGCTTATGATATCAAGATGATGGAAGAAGGTGGTCTCATAGATACGTTGGGCTTGAGCCATTTGGGAAAACAAAGATTTCCATATAATTATCTGTTTAAAATTATTGTTAAAATTATTGTCCCATTGGGGACAATCCTTGTCTCCTGTTGTATTACTTACATTTATAACTTTTTCTTTTAAAATTCAAAATAGGATTTTTAAGGTTTGATGGTGGTACTTGTGTAGAGACACCATTCAGACTAAGAGAATAACAGCTCAGTTAAATAAATCAAATAAAGCATAAATATTTAATAGTATGCTTTTAAAATGTGGCATATATGTGTTTTAAAAGAAATAATAGCATGAATAAAATAAATTATAACTTTCAGTTTGTGCAGAAGTGGTCAAAAAGTGAAAAAAAGAAGATAGAAAGGCTTATAATGAAACTCTGTTTGCTGGTTCGACTGTGACTGTGCAGTTGTTGCCTCCTTCATAAATGCACTTGTAAGGCACACAATTTAAGATCGAAAGGAGATTTGATTGAAATTTAATTAGAACCTGTCGTTGGCTATGATGGTGCTGCAGCACAGAATGTGATCATGTCTCCCAGGTTGCCAGTTACTTAATTAAAAGAGAGCAAATATTAAAATTCAATAAATGATATATCTCTAGAGCAAAATGTAAGGATTTTGAAGTAAAAGGAGAGGACACGTTCTTTAAAGACTGGAGACTGGTGGCATAGGAATTGTCAAGAAGATGTTCTAAAAGTTTTTAGTGCAGCAGAAAGAATAATAGAAATGGAAACTGTAATGGAAACTTTATTGTTGTAAGCTGCCCCGAGGCTTCGGTGAATGGGGCGGCATAAAAATGTTTTAATAAATAAATAAATAAATAAAACTGAAGGAAGAAAATGGATCTCTGTTTGTATTTCTGTCTCAAGGCTAATTTAATCTTTGATTATAACACTGAAACACGTACTGACTTTATAATTAAAATGCACCATCAATTTGAAGGCAGAAATCTTGATTCCTGCTTGTACTTTATGTTAGAAGGGTTGACCCGTTGAATTGTGAGACTTGCATTAGTAATACCTACTTCTTTTCTTTTGGGTGGAACAGTCTGCGGGTACAAGGAATTGTAGTAAGAAGTTCCTTTGGCTTAGCCATCAGCTGCTTGGGAGTATATTTCCTCAGCCACATTTCCCCCATTACACACACACATACACGAGACATAGGCTTTTTTTTGTGGCTATATTGCAAGCTTCTGAAATTTTCTGGAGTGTTTAAAGCAGTTTTCTCTGTGAAGGGCTGCTAATTAAGTACTCCAAGCAAAAAGCACCCTTGGGAGAGAAGAGCTACCTTGATATGTCCTAGTTTCCTGACCATTGAATGAAATTGATGAGTTAAGCTAGATCCTGACCAGATATTGCACTTATTCTGTGTGACAGTACATCACACAGTGCTGAGTTAAGCTGGATCCTGACCAGGTTTGCACATTATAATGCAGTTCCTTGGGTTTTTTAATCCAAGAATTTCTGGGGACAAGTGAAATGATAAATGTACTTCCTCCTGTGCAGTGATTGTTTTCATATCCAATTTTGTGATAGTGAATCCAGAAACTCTGGACTGTTCAACCTAAAACAGCCTTGAGCTTCTGGGTTTCCCCATCAAAAATAACCCAGAGATAGAGTTTCCTCGGTTGTTAATTGAAACTGGAAATTATAAGAGGTTTGTTGGTTTGCTCATCTCCAGCAATTCTTGGGTTAATGAACCCAGGAATTGCAGTGTGACATGTGAACTGGATCTCTGCCTCTTGTCAGATGAATTTTTTGTGTACTATTCAGATGGTGAAGAAACATTTGAAGACACAATATTTCAAACAAACAGATGTACTCAAATGCAGGTGCAAATAAACTAGTTCAGAGTAGAATCAGTATCAATAGAAAAGGAAGCTGCAAAGTAAAGCATTTATATGAGAAGAAGAAAATGTGTGTCTACCACAAAACCTTTGTAGCTGCAACTGTGAGCTGGTTCACACAGTCATGTTGGCCATCAAATGGTGAAAGGTGTGAATATGCCATTACAGAAGGAAATTTCATATCTTCTATCAACTCACACCACTGCTTTTTAGCCAAGGGAATTCTCACATCAAGCACGGACATTAATTGATGTATATTCATGTTTTGCACATGGTTCTGAAAGTAGATGGAAGAATAGTTACATATTTTTGAAACAACTGTGTAATGATTGTGTTTGAATGAAATAAGCAAATGTGAGCCCTGTCTAATTTACTGGAACTTAAATTGACATGCCTTTCAATACAGTAGAGATGGCAAATTAAAAATAAATATTTCATGTGGATTGCTGAGGGTATCTACAGAGAACTTTGGCATGTTGCCTTAAGTTGTATAAATGTAGCAGGAACCTTTCATTAGTACATGGACTGTCTGGGACTTGCATTCTTTATATGAAGATCCATCCTGAGTGTTTGTTCTTTTTGGCTGTAGTCTCAGTTTACATTTTCAAATGGAAAGCAATGCTGTTTGGTTCCTGATAAAACAATCCCTAGATAACACAGATAACATGCCTTATTTGTTTTGACAGCAAATGTTTTCCTTTTATCATTCAGATCCTGCTGAGATATCATCATTGTATTATTCACCAAAACTTCAGCTGGTGGGTGTTTTCTTATGATTGTCTAACAAAGTTATCTATGGACTCAGAGAGCTATTGTGTTTGGCCCTGAGAGTGCATAGCAGTGAAGTCTTAGGTAAGTATCTGTTGTGCATATGTGCATGCAACTTCCTTCCTGCTAATAAGAGATGTTCTGTGGTCTCAGTGCTGCCTCATTGGTTCTTTGCCATTAATAACACAGTGGGGAAAACGATAATTGGAACTCTGATACCAAATGGAGCTTTGCATCATTCAGGGAGAGAGGCATTGTCCGAATAAATGTTGGATACTGAAGACAGACATTGTAGAATGTAAGGCATACATTTTAATAGTATGTTGTATATAGATGGAAGTTTGGAAATTGCGCTTGATATACTGTCAGATAAGATACTTTCCGAAATGGCCCCAAATATATGTTGGAAATGACTCTCAAAATGTCACTGTCTTCAACAAAATCTTCTGCACAAGTTAAGTAGATCCTGATAGCTCCATAGTGGATTTTTAAAAAGTTGGCTTTGAAATCTAGGAGTTTTCCTTTGTACCTAAAAGGACCAAAAATGCACAATATGTCAAATAAAATCATCCTCTGTACCAAACTACTATCCAAATGGCCTTCACCAACCCAAATATTTCTTATTGGTCTGTATTAAGCTCATCAGTTTCCTTAGTATAGTCCTAATGTTTCACCATAAAACTGAATAAATTAGCAATTGTTTATTCTTGATAGCACAGTAATTTATTTCCCATATACACATTCATAACAAAACATGACATTTTAATTTTCCACTGCCATCCACTTTAAAATTTCTGCTTTTATATTGCTCTGGCTTATACACCTGAAGTTAATAAACTACATGATATTAGGAAGTGTTATCCAGGGAGGAAGGTAGGCTTAACCTACCACTTGTTTTCCATTCTTGGTCACGTAGATTCAAGATCTGTGGATTGCTGGTCAGGCAATTCCTCCAGATGGCAGAGTGTTCTCTCTGATGAAATGCTGAAACAATGTACCTGATGTAGGGCTTTTTAATGGTTTGGTTCCTTGTATGAATAGAATCTGTCTTCATTCATTGGCATCCCATGGTACCAAAGAAAGATGTTAATGTAACTGAGCACTGAATTAAAGCAAATTCTATTTATACAGTTATTAGAATGCTTAAACATTTTGTAAAGCAAAATTGTTGTCCTGAAATAACATGAATATCTTTTATCCTGTTTTCTTTCCTGTGCCTGAAAAGGCAGCTCACATCCTGTTAAAACATGGAAGAAGGGAAGTAGGTTAGCCATACCTGCCTGAAGATATTAATGTAACCTGTGGGAAGGTAGACACTCAGCATCTGAAGGTGGCTCTTAGCTCCATTCTCAGTTGAAGAATGTAAACAGTGCTAGAGCACTATGTCTCATTGTTTGGATAACTTTCTTGTAGCTGTTCTTCACTGAGTGTCATGCCACAGAATCTACACATCTGAATCTCCCTGTAATGAAGGTGATATAGATGTGGTGCTGTCAGCTTCACTTGAAATAACTACTGTGTCTTTATTGGTGCAGAATGCACTTCTTGTTGTTTTTGGCTACAGAATATGGTTCTTCATTAGGAGGCTGAAAAATGCTTGATATTTGTATAATTAGAGGGATTTCTTTATCCATTTATACCCCATATTTTGTCACATCAAGGTGAACCATAGTAAGGAATGTATCAGATGAGCCTGTTTGACTAATGAAGGTTATATTTGAATTATTTGATTTTGCAGTGGGCAGATTAAACAGAGGAACAACTTGCTTAAACAAGTCATAGTTTAGGCAGCATAGCATTACTGAATATCTTTAGTCTTTTTGGTACATAATTTGCATGGGAAAACATATGCAGTAAGCCAAATGTGAAAAATCCATTTTGCATTTGCCTTCTATGTGATTTGTGAACATCCGTATAAACTATCCATTTGCAGTGTGCACATGTTAGCAGCAATTGAAATATGTTTGCCCTAATGTCCGTGCACAGAGAATAATGCATGCAGATTCAAACCATGCAGAGACCATGTTGAACATGCTTTCCAGAAATGAATGTTCAGTTTGGTCTTGTGCGCATTGAACTTTATAGGAGGAGATACTTGTGCAAATATTATGTCCAACCTGTGAACATCCGGCAGGCTAAGAAAAATGCAGTTGTGCCAGATGGGGCAATCCTACACTGTGTCATGTCTCTTTATACATAGAACCCATCTGAAATTATTCTACATTTATAATGGATCTTGGTGTCTTATAGATGCATGTGTATTTCCTTCTACTGTTGCTTTATCAAAGTAAAATGTAATGCAACAATAAAAGCTGAGACAACTTAGTACAGGAGAATCCTTTAATAGTATAAATTTTGTTGGTATCCAGATAGCTGAATAGCAGTGGAACCACAAGAGTTAGTCTACATCAAAGCGTGAAACCTGAGAAACATATATTATGAATAAGTCCCTCATCATTTTATATTTCTTATATCTTCTAGTGTGTGGAGTGAGTGCAGTTCTTACTGCAAACTACTTTCCAACAGAAAAATGCAGCCCTCAAAAAATAAAAATCTAGAATATTCAGAAGCTTTCTATAGGCCTTCCTTAGCTGTTCAGAAGACTAGTGCTGAAATCGTAAATGAAGCACGTAATGCACTTAGGACTTTAAGAACTCAAAGACCATTTACCCCAAGAGAGGAACAAAGGAAACTTTTTGGATCTGCCTCTTCAAGAACACCTGAAAACAGGCCACCATCTGCTTTTAGGTATGGGGTTTGGCAGAAAGAGATATAACCTTAGATTCTATGCGAGCAGGTCATGGAATGCACTCAGTGTGTTGATTATTATTTATTCAAGAGGGTCAAAAAAGTAAAAAAGCTGACATACAATTATCCACCTGCTTCAACAAGGGATATATTCCTCCTGCTATATGGGTACAGTTGGTAAAAAGTTAGACTACATATAGTTTAAGTGTTTTTCACAGGTTTTTTTTAGTGGAAAGTGTTAATCATCACCCTAAAACTATTATTAGGTTGTATGTGTAGGAAGCTGACACTCCTCTGATTTGCTGTCTGGATGTCTCATTTCCTACTTCTGTTGATTTTGTGGTTCAGAAAGGAATTTCTTTTGGGCATGGACTTCCATTCTAGGTCCTCAGTAGCAGATGTGGAGGAGATTCAAAGCAATACACCATTCTTGTTCCATCAAATAATTGAGCTAGATACTGTGACCAATGCTTAACCCTATTGGTTTCCTTCCAAACTTGCCTTCTCTTTTGCTTTACATTCCAAGAAAGAGCTTTGGAGGCACATTAAGCAATTTGGCAGAGCTAGCATTTTTACTTCAGTAGTGTCCATGTAGAAGATACCTTTTGTGGGGAAATATGTTTTCATTTGTCTACTCTACACATTTATTAATATGTTCTTTGTTTTATTCCAGTCTTCATGCTTCCAGTTTTGAAGCAGTTGAATCAAGACCTGTGCCTTGTGCACGCCTCAGCCCACTGGACCATGTGCGTATAATCTGCTGGGAAAACTTTATGTACTCTTTGCTCAGTCAAAATGAAGTGCCAAGAGAAGTTGCATTCTGCAATCTGTATGAATTACACAGGGACTTAAGCTCACCTTCAACCACTAAACATTTAATCAGCCACCTCTCTATCTCTTGAGATTTCTGTAAGCATTTTCCACAAGATTTACGTAAGTAGATCTAGAAACGTGCTTTATAAAACAGGAAAAGTGAAATGATTCAGAACATGAATTTCCCATGTTTTGTGATTTTTTTGTAATCTTGTGGAATTACAGCATATGCACAACCCTGATTGTTAGAATTAAAACTGTATAAGCTATTGTTTAAGTTTTTCTAGTACACAGGATAGGGCTTTTCAATCATGGCTCAAGCTTTATTATAGAGCTCTGGGAGAAACTGTATGACAGATCTGTTCTTGCAGATCCTCGCACATCTGATTGTGGCAAAATATGAACTGGCTTTATGTTAAATTCAATCTTGTCTTGTAACAGAAGCCAAAGCTGGTGTCAACAGCTACAAGTAATGAAGAGCATCACATTTCCTCTCCTAAACCACCACTGGATTCGAAAGAGATCAGAAAAGTCAGTAATGCTCGTGCACGTTTGTTTAGAACAGCTTCTTATGGAAATCTTCTCCCTGATAAAGTGTTTCTTCCTAATGCAAGTATGTTTCTATAATATTTTTTTTACCAATATATGTTAAAAACAGATTTCTTTAAATAATGAGGTGTGCCTAATTGACAAATAGGAATCCAGACTGCAGTTTTCAAACTGATATAGGCTGTATGTCATAGCAAATTCAAGATATTTACATTTTAATATATTAGCTTGGATTCTACATTAGCCTTCCATGAATTGATGCTGTCTTTTTCTTCAATTTGTGATTTTCCGCTCCCTGTACCATTCTGGTGAGTTCTCCACATTTCCAAAGTGGATTTTAGAATGGTTCAAAGGTCTGCAGGAGAAAAATGGGAAAAACTTGCTCTTCTTCCCTCGTATACCCCTTTCCACTGGTAGGAGTGTCCTATGAACTCCACTCTGGAAATGCTGCTGTAGGTGGGAACAAATTCAGGACTCAAGCCATTGCCCGTGTAATCCACCAGTTTCTAGAATAGGCTTTTAAAATCCAAACTTCAGTGAGTGAGGAGGGATTTGATTGAGTGTATAATGGAAGGGATTATTAGGAGGATAATGACAGATGGTATTTTTTAGTGACAGGAAAAAAATGGGGAAAAGTAGATCCGCGAAGACAGAATCAGTTGGTTTGTCTAAACCTCTCGGAAGAAAGTTTGAGAGAGACTACTTTAGAAATTTTTTTAACTATGAAGATGTTGTTTAAAAAATGTACTTATACCTTCTGGTGGGGTCCTTTTTTACATAGGTTGTGTAACCTGATCTCATTAATGTTTTAGCAAACTTTCATACACATAATTTATTAGAAAGAAAGATTTCCATTTCCCTTTTTAGAGGCTCATGTCTTTAAAAAACCTTTCATATAAAGAAGACTGGCAAGGACAATTGTTATAATGTAAAGTATAATATTTCAGAAACATCTTGATTTATCATTTTAAAACCCCTTTCTTGGTGCTTAATTTTTAAGAATGTTTTAACCCTTCATTCAAACAGGTAAGAGGCTGAGTTTTAAGGAACACGTTTCCATGGATAATGTTTCAAGGAGTAATAATGAAAGATTTTCCCAAAAAGTGACTGATCAGTTGAACTTTAAGGAAGACTATCCTCCACTAACATATAAAGAACATGATAGTAAGATAGTAGGGGAAGAAGTCTATCCACAAATGATACATATATCTCCATCTTTGCTCAGCAATCAAAGGTCAGTATTTTGTTGAGCTTTATAATCTTCAGACATTTACAGTGCCATTTAAGGTCACATTTACATCACTTGATGTTTCACAGATTAATGTAGGAGATAATAAAGAATGCAATGTCATGGAACATTCTAATCATTGTAAATTTATACTGAAGGAAAGAGCCAAAACCTGCACTATTTTATAGTGGAACTATATAATATGTAAACTAATGTCTAAACTCAAAAATCAGTGACATTCCTACCTACAACTTACATATTTATAGCAGTGATGAGTTCCACGTTATGTGTGTGCACACTTACATGCTCTCACACATGTGTACATCAATAGAAAAAAATGGTCGATATACACACACGTTATGTTAAATCAGACCATGGTCCATCTCCTCTTGCGTTGGTCCAACAGTAACAAGCCAGCTACATGTGAGGAAACTTGCAAGTAGGTCATGAGTACAATACCATCTTTCTGGATTTGTCCCCACAGCAACTAGTATGCATAAGCAAACTGCTTTTGGTATAGGAGATATCATATAGTTATCATGGCTAATAGCCATTGATAGTCTTATCCTCCGTTAATCTGTCTAACCCCTTTTTAAAGCCTTCCAAATTGGTGATATCACAATACCTTATAGCAGCTAATTCCATAGTTTGACTTTGGGCTGCATGAAGAAGTACTTTTTCAATCTCTCACCTGTCAACTTCATGTTCAACCTCAGTTTCCGATATTATGGAAGGAAAAGAAAAAATGTCTTTCTAGCCGCTTTCTCTACTGCATGCATAATTGTGTGTACCTCTGTCTTTTCTTCCTTTACCCATTTTTTCTAAGCTAAACAGTTCCAGAAGTTATAAACGTCCCTCATAGGTGAGCTAGTCCAGCCCTTTTAGTTTTTTTCTTGGGCATTTTTTTTTCAACTCTACCATTTTCTTTTAGGAAATATGGTTACAGCATAGGTTTATTGAAGGCCACCAAGATATTGGCAGTTTTATTTATGATTCCTAATTATTCCCAAAATTGATTTTTTCTCTTTTCACAGCAGTTGTACACTGAGTTGACATTTCAGCAAGCTGTACACTGCATGCAACCCCAAGATCTCTTTGTTGGTCAGTCCCTTCTAGTTCAGAAATGTGGAGTTCAGATTTTTTGTCCCAATGTACATCATTGCTTATGTGGTACCTCTAACATAAAAATATTGCATTCTTGATTAGGCTACTCCCACAATACTTTCCTAACCCATTTTACTGCTACTTCGTATCTAAAACCTGAGTCTGTACTTGATTATTAAAATGGAAGTTTCTATATAGCTAGCAGCTGGCCCTTTCATTCTGGCCCTTTGTTACCCTTGACTACATTAATGTGGCACTTCTTGTCAGATAAAGGATACTGTGGGCCCTTTGCATGCAATTTAAAATGTGGTTTGTGACATGAATCCACACTGCTCCTCCTTGTCCTTTACTTTTCAGTTTTATCTGTTAGTGCAGCAGAAGATGATTCCTAACCTATTATTAGAGTAAGTAGTTTTATCTTCTGCTCATGTTGGACATACAATACTTTGGTATGCTGCTGCTGTAGATTGTAAAACATTTAAAAACAGACACCTGTTTACAGAACTAATGAATATATAATTACCGCTCTTCAGTAATAGGAAATCACTACTTCCCCTACCCAACAGTACATATACAACTCAGACCTGACTCACACCTACAAAATTCCTGTTGTTTAATGCAGGAATTGCTGGAGGTAAGCAGCAACAAGGCCTGTTTGGATCTTTAATTGGTTCAGGCCTCTTGGACCTTTTCTTCCTAGAATAGCAAAGGTATTCTGGATTGTGTGCAGTAGATCATTGCGTTAAACAATAAGAGCAAATGATGACCCACACTGTATCAAGTGACTAGGATGCTATTTTCATAGCATGAGTTCTAAGAGTGGTTCTAAACCCGAGTAAGACAATTGTAATAAAAATGGATCTCCATATTCTGTGGCAATGCCTTTTTATTGGCTTGAGGTATATTTGGCACCATTACTTTGAATGACATGCTCATTTTACTTTGATTCAAATAGGTGTAATTGGAGCTAAATTCCCTAATGTTTATCAGCCTGTAGTTGCAGTTGTTGTCATATTTGTCAGTGCATTTTTACTTCTTAAGATTGATTAGGGCTATGGACATGCAATTATTTGCTGTAAAGGAATCTGTTATTTTTAAGAGACCAAGAATAAAAATAATTAATTGACTACTCTGTTTGTATCTAGACTTTTGTCTTCTATCCAGTAATCTTTACCGTACATTAGAGCACCTGTTTGTTCCAGCTGTGGATTAAATATGTTCCAGCTGTGGATTAAATATCACTTTTCTAAAATAAACTGCAATTAATCTTTTAGTACACTTGAATTTATTGCAATATTTTTCATAGTAATAATAGCACTTGACATTTCTTTAATTCTGGCACTGATAACTTGTTAACTAATTCCAGCACTTAATTAACATTATAATATGTAGCTGTTTAGGGATAAAGCTTTTGTTGTGGACTTGATCCCAGTCTCTGCTTTCTACAGTATATTGGAAAGAACAAATAAAATAAAGAGATACAAGCTAAGGAAGAGAAAAACAACTCAGGAATTGAGGAAAATGTACTGTCATTTGTTCAGTTCTCCACCAGACTTCTTTGGGGAGGACAAGAAATCATGATTTCAGCAATCCAGAATTCACAATCCAACAACAAATGATGAGTTTTCTTTCTCAGTTTTTTGTGGGTAAATGACCACAGTTTGTGATCATGGCTGCATTCACACATCACAACACAGAATTCAACAGCCCATAAATATACCATAGATTATTGGTAATTATAAACCAGGCTATGTCATTTCAACATTTTTAATATTAGACATTCCATAGGCTACAGTAAGTTACAGAGCTCTCCTAAATTTTCTTTCACTATGCTCATTTTTGTATGGCAGTAGGGCGAGAAATTAGTTTTGGTACCCAAGTGAATACTGTTCATAACTGATGAGTATAAACCTCACACAGAGTGATAATTGCTAAATTAGTGGGTACACTGTAATACTTATATTTTATATTTTACTTTCCAAAATTTCCATTACAGTTACTTTCAGCTAAACTAATTTACCCTTCTTAACACCTTTTCACCTTTCCTTGACCATAGTATGTACAAACACTAAATAGTTAAATACCCTGCAGTTTAAGCCAAATGGTTATATTTGAGCGTCACTAAGGTGTGCGCTTAGAATTATAAGGTTTCTTTAAAAACTACAAAATGTAACACACCCTCTTCTAATCTTGGTTATCCTTGTGCCCTGTTTTCTGGACTAAAATATTATATGAGGCGTGAGCATTAATTTATGTATAAACTGCAGAAACTCTCTGGGCAGTTCACAACAAGCAAGTAACGTTAAGTGCTACATAGTGGATTAACTGGCATAGAAAGTTGTAAATCTTGCTTTATTTTAAAATACGCTCCCCTTAGAAGGTGTCACCAAAATATTACAGGGTGATTTAAAAAGGTACCTTTGAAATCCATGAAGGCTCTATCTTTCATAATTCCTTACCACAGTTGAGTTCAGTTGTTATCTCATAAACACCCATGACTGTGACTTTCTAAGGGAAATAAATCTGTGGGTGTATTTTCTTTGTTGCTTGAGAAATGGAATTGAATCTATTGAGGGTTTCACAGATGACTACTTTGTGCATTGAGAAGTGCTATAGAAATGACAAATGATAATTTCCAGGCAAACACTTTTTTGTAGCAAGTATCTTACCTGGTGATACTAAAAGGTGAAAAGGCAAAAACTTACGCATTTTAAAATGTTAATATATAAATTATGTATCACTATTAATTGCTACTATAAGAAAGTGGTGATTGTAGAATTTAATAGTCAGTTCATTATTTCCCAGCAGTAATGTCCTGTGAACTGATGAGCTTTCAGGTTTTAATAGAAAAAGAAGCTTCTCATCTTGTGTTGTTTTTGTTCAATAATGGTGACCTCTTGTGGTGCAATGGTTTCATTGCAACATGCTTAGATTTAGTTGCAAAATAGTGTATAAAGTTTGTTTAAACCCAACAAGTAAAAAAGAGTGTGTGTTATAAAATAGAAGAAATTGCTATCTTATTTATGACGTAGAACAACATAAGTGGTACAAGTAGTAGCTGGGGAAAGGAGACATACAAGTTGAAGAGAGAGTCTATTTTGGCCTTTTTTCCCACCTGCTATTCCTGCCTGATTGAAATTTCTATATGGCAATGAGCTGCCATTGGCTGCACAAATAAATTAGAGGAAACTTCATTGGGTTGGGGGAAGTATTAACTTCTTTATCTATCAGAAAATGTGTAAATTATCCTGTCAAGTGGTATATAAATCTCTATAATTAACATTTAATAAAATACAGGGACCTGTTCCTCTCCAAACCATTTTGGAGTTAGCATATATATGCTTGAATGAACTTTTCACTTACTATAAAGTCTTCCCAGTTGTCTACATGAAAGGTAAAAGCACTGTTATTTACTTGTTTTGATGGGTTCCTACATTTTGCTATATGTTTGTTTGTTCTTTTTTAGTGACCAGGTTAATATGCAGGAAAATCCTTTATTATACTCTGGCAATACTGAATGGACTAAATCTGCAGCCAGGTCAGGTATGTCATATAGGTTTGGTTTGCACGTAATGTTAAACTATGCTTTAATGTCGCATGCATGCAGTTCTGTGGGCTGAGTGAAGACTTTAGCTTGAGTACGCCTCCCCTCTTTTTCTTCCTTCAATGTGCCCAGTGGTAGGAATAAATTGTTACTCAGTTTCACTTTCCCCAATTTTTGGCTGGTTATATACAAACCCAGACTGATGGTTTTTAAAAGTCTTGTTCATTAAACAGGCCAGCTTCATAACACATAGTTTGAAGTTCCCTTGCTTAGTAATTGAGCATAGTGTATTTTAAACAATAATCAGTGGCTTGTATTTAACAACAAGCCAGGAACTGGGGAAAAGGATTTAGTGCCATACATATAGCAATAATTCATGGCTTAGCATTATGTGCACATTGTTTGATAGTACTAGTTAAGCATAGATTTTTTGAAAGATGTTACTAGTTTACTTGTTTGTTTATTTCTGCATTGCATTAACAGATAGATCAGTATGCTAGCTATTGTTTCAATTTTCATTATGCCACCTTTTTCAGATCTGTTATACTTATGGTGATAGCAACACACCATGTGATGTGTTAATTAACTGTTTTCCTTTCTAATATATTTCTCCTAGAAACTCACATGATAAATAACATTTTTTTGCAAATATAAAGCTACAGTCTTAAATGTTGCTACTTGGAAATATTACCCACTGAACCCATTAAGGTTTTCTTTCAAGTAAATATGATTAGAGTTATTCTCTTGGCCAGATACTGGCATGCTAAGGATCCTGAATGAAGTTTGGTACAACCTGTCAACATCCTGAACAGCTGGAGATGCCCATAGGCATCTGGACTGCATAGGTTGTTGGTCTGATCTGGAATATTTACCTCTTTTTTTGCCAAGCTACAGATACTTCCTGAGAGAAGGGCTTATGTGTAAGGCTGTTGCAAATGAGGTACTAAATTTACTTCCCTGGGGCCACTGAATTGAAAGTATCCAATTACCAAGCAACAAGGTTGCACTACCAACACTTATGTGACAATATGGATAACTCTATAATTATTTAGCAGAGGTTCAAATGAGCTGGTTTAAGTTTTCCAGCCGTGCAAGGCAACAAATTAACACTTCCCTCATCAAGTGGAAGCAACAGTAGGGATTATTGCTCATCGTCAACATGCCTGGCTACAGTCAATGAGGTGATGGCAGAAAGCATGTTCCTCTATCAAGGACCAATAGTCAGTTCTGAGACAGACAATGCTATGGATCCTGTACAAAAGGCAAAGATCACAGCAGGAATATGGGGCTTGGCCAACCAGTGCTGCTTCTGTACAGTTAGCACAGGTGGCCTTATCCAGACAGCAGGAAAAATGCTAATTTTGGCCTTCAGCACATTCTGTACTGGAATAGTGCTACTAACCTTCTTGATTTCATATACTCTGTGGAAGATTGAGCAAGGCTCAACCTGAACAACCAAGGGGACACACAGACTACTTTGCTTGCCAAACTGACCCTCCACATATTGGGACAGTATACCATTTAAAAGATTGGCCCAATCCCCATTCATACAGCTGACAATATAGCTCTGTTTGCTTCACCCCTTTCTTTTTGTGTTTTACTACACTGTTGTCAGTGATTTGTTTGGTTAGCTTCAGTGGTATGTTAGCAACCTAGTGCTGGATTAGATTTTGCTGTTATTGCTGGTTTTGATTAATGTTACTACTGATGTTGTTTTATGAGATTGTATTATATAAGCAGCCTTGGGTAGGCTTTTTCTCTTAAAGGCAACCTAAAAGTATTTTAAATAAGTGTACAGAAATACATTGTCCTTATGTTCTTATGAATAGGTTCTTTAGATTTGGTGTTGCTGATTTTTTTTACGAATAATTTAACCACTTACTGCTCTTTGAAGCTGCTCTTAGGTTTATTTTATTTTTATAAGATACAACTTTTGAGTGTTCCCTTGTGATTAAAAATTAGTCTAGAACTGACTTTCCCTGACCAATCCTCTAACTTGCTAAATCAACACATTAGAGTCAGGTACTGCAGAAGTGTTTAGGGTGACGTACATAACAGTTACATCAGTACATCATCACACAGTATTATGGTGTGGTAGCAGTGCAGGCAACAACTGTTTCTGTTTGGAATTGGGGTACAAATCATCCAACCTGTTTGTAGACAAGCTACTTTACGTTGCTAAGAACCTGCCTGTTTTCTGTTTTTCTGCTTTTCCTTGGCTTAAGAGAGCCCTGCGGATCTAATCTCTAGTCCATCATTCTGTTCTCATCTTGGTTGACCAGATGCTTGTTGAGAAGCCCACAAGCTGGACATGATTGTAGAAGTGCCTTCTTGCTCATATTCCCTGGCAACTATTGTACTGAAATGGTTAATAAATCTTTCTCCGTGTAAATACAGCATATTAATGTATGATTACATTGCAATGTTAAATGTGAGATTTTTTCCAACTTTAAGTAGTTAATTATTTTTTCAGTGTATATTCTTTATAAGGAGAGGGCAAGGCTAGTAAATTAATTTGGTGTTCGAGCTGTTAAAGCAGATAGCCCTGATAATCTGTTTGGCAGTTCCTACTAGGGATGCGAATATCTCCCCAGAATCTGGCTTGCTTATGATTGCTGGACTTCTTTCTTGTGCTTGACCCTGGTCTGGGAAATGAACTGAGTCAAGATCAAGCCCACAAATGATCAGAAATAGTAGCAGGCCCTATCCTTGCACTGAATTCTTGTGCAAAGTGTGCAAAGTTTGCAAGTCACATGTGGAAGCAGAACTCTGCTTGCACCGCAGGTATGTAGGTGATGGGTGGTGGGCAGTGGAACTCTGCTTGAACAGTGGGCGTGCGAGTGGCAAGCAGCTGCATACACAAACCACCCTTGCTAGTTACAGCTGTGCAACTGGAATTGTTTCTTGCCAGACGCCTTCAGAAATGCTTGGTGTGAGGTGGATTTAAGGCAGAGAGAAAGCTGTCTGGAGCCCAGAGAGACAAGCCAAGGAAATCCAATGTTTTTCCACGCTCAAATCCATTTCCGAACACATTGCTACTTTGTACATAGCCCTAATTCAAAAATGCATAATCCTGTATATTCCTGGGTGCCACTGTCTCACCCCCTCCCAGGTTTTTGTACCTGATCCAGAGCAATGTGCTAATGCAGCCTTCCTTAAATTGGTGCTTTTGAGATGTTTGAACTTCGGTGTGAAGTGTAAATTGGTGACCTGCAAGAGCAGGGTGTTGGATCAGATGGCCTTCTTGGCCCCTTCTAACTCTACTATTCTATGATTGTGTGATTGTGTGGTGTAAGGGTGGTCAGGCATGCTGGGAGTTTTAGCCAAAAACATCTGTAGAGCATCAGTTCCACTACTATTTTGAAACGAAGTTGACCTGTAGGCATACAGGTAGGTATTGCTTGGTTTTCTAGTGCTTAGTATTGCTAAGGCTCGTGCATTTACCTGCTAAAAACAGTAACCAGTAAGTACAGACCAATGTCATTTATGTGACTAGAATGTAAAGCTGTGGTTATGACTGATAAACCACTGAGACAAAAAAATATATTCAACTTGTCAATCTCTCTTAAGTATTGTTTTGTTTTCTGCTACTGATATAAAAATACATTCCTAAAGAGATTTAACTGAAACATTTAATTTTGGCTTGTTAGGCAGATACTGTACATTTGATTATGTCATGATTTTCCTTCTAAGTAAGTTAGAAAATATTAAAAGATTATTAGTTTCAGAGTCATACATTTTACCATACATTATTTTGTAAGTATTCAAAAATTAATTTTGATATGTGGTCTTATAATAATATATTTTTTTAAATTTCAGAAAATTTGAGAGCAAATGAGACAGAAGAAGAAAAAAACTACTGGAATATGAAAATTTTACCAATTTTACATGAATTAGAAACTGGTACTTAATGCTTTTTAAATAAAATCTGTTTGGGTTTTTAAACCCACTTGTGGGTATAACTAAGATACATTTCAAAGAAGCAGTACATATTAATAGTATATATGGTCTTTTGTTGTTATAGCTTACTGTTACCAAGCATGGTCCAGTGATTTCTGTTTCTCTTCCCTCTTTGAAGCAAAAATATTTGTGCCTTGGGCAAGAAGTCCTAATGCATAGCTCTGTTTAACTATGTAATGCAGGAGTAGGGACTTGAATCATCTCCAGCACCAAGCAGGCCTGATGTCAGAGTTTGAGGTTATACTTCTTACAATAATCTGGTGCCTTCAGTTGGGGACCTGGTTTACCTGCATGAGGGTTTTCCTTGGTTATGGAATAGTTAGGATGAGGAATTAATGACTTATCATTATTTTTATTATGTTTATCATCCTATCTTTTTCCTTCAAAGAAGTTAAGATGACTTACATAATTCTCCTCTCAACCTTACCCTCACAACAACAACCCTGTGAGGTAGGTTGGACTGAAAGTCTGTGACTGGCTGCTACTGGCCGCTTTAGATCTTGGAGCCATTACAGAGACTCACTTAGGCACTGTTGTAAAGGTGATTCACTGTAGCCTACATATAACATGTATACTCTGCATTAGAAAAGATACTTGGCTCCTAACAAACATGCCATCTGGAGCTAAACAGCACTGGATATAATCAGTATTAAAGTAGTGGTTAATTTTTTTTGCCTTGTTATCTGGCAGCACTTAAAGAAAGGTTTTGGTTTGAGTGGTGCTTAGAATCACTGTTTTTCTTACTGTATATTTTGTGATGTCTCTAAGGTTTATTCTTTCACTTCTGTTTTTTGTTTTTTCTCAGTGGCTTTGCGAAATATTTGATAATTTCACTTTTTTCTTTTCTGTATCAACTAGAGGACAATGTAGAAAGCCTTTGTCATGCCTGTACAATTCTCTATCAAGCCTTGGAAGAGGGAAATATGCTTGGCAAGCAGTGTAAAAGGCGAACATTGTTTTTGAAGACTTTATACAAATTGGTTGACATTGCTTCAGATCCCCTTGGACTGAAACTAGCAAAAATTATTTTGGGAGTAAGTTAAGTCTAATTGTGATATGATGAAACATGATAGTTCATATGTTCTAGATCAGCTTTCCCCAACTCGATACTTCCACAAGTTTTGGACTTCAACTCCTTTCATATGCAGCCAACATAGGTAACAGGTATGCTGGGATTTATAGTCCAAAACATCTAAAGGGCACAGTTTTAGGGAAGGCTGTTGTAGAAGCCTGGTAGTTGTGTGAAATTGCATGTTAATTCAGTGAGCTTAAATAACTGCTAAATAAGCTATTCAGCCTAATTTACAGGATTCATCAATATGTGCTGATCAACTATTACATCTAAATTTCCTTAACACTTCATATTTGACTGTATATCATTGGGATTGGCAGCACAATCCTATCTGTGTTTGCTCAAAAGGAAGTTCTGCTGAGTTCAATGGGCCATATTTCCAGGGGGCTGTATGTAGGATTTTATCCCAAAGGATGGAAACTAACTTCTAAATGGTAGACAAAATACAGTATATTTTACATTCTTTGAGATCAGTCAAGCACTTTTTAAAGTAACAGTAAGCCTAATTACACCCAGAAGAGGTAACCATGACATTATAAGTGGTTTTCTCTTTTCACCTGACTCTAAATACATTTACTTGAAACCTAACTTAGTCAATGCAATTTACTTTTTAGTAAGTGTATTTAAGATATTTCAAAGGGGCAGCAGCATGAATAACATGTCAGGATTTGTAACTCAACAGCTATCCGTTTCCAAAAGAGAGAAAAAAACAGAAGAAACCAGTATAAAAAGTGCTTACTCATTTTTAGAATCCATAGTATGCCTCCTTGTCCAGAAAATTAACAAGTTCAGTGTGTTACAAAGCAGTATTTTACAACTTGACCCTTATAAAGTGTTCCATATCTATTTAACCAGAGGCTGAAAGCTTCTTTCAGCTCTTCCTATTTTTAGCTTTGATTACTTTTGTAGCCACAATTAATCTCTAAAGCAATTCCTTGATTGTGTTTGGAATGCACTTTTTTGCAATCAGTCATCAACACAGTAAAGTACATTGAATAATGCTGTTGGTCGTTATTATGCCATGTGACCTTATTACATAAGTTTGACAACAATATAAAACTTACTTGCAGGCATCATAGTTGTAAATGTCTTCATTCAAAAGAGAGATCTGACTGGATCTGCTAATATTTTTGTTCATTATTTGTAAGAACTTGATGGTGACCTTCAAGGCTCTACCTGTTCACTCAAATGGCGCTTTTCTTCCATCCAAGCCCCAGTGTTTGTACAGTGCTATCCACTCCATTTAAATATAAGAAAGTCTTATCCATGGAGAAATTGCAGGTCCTAGATTAGCTTCAGACTTTGGTCAAAGTCTTGCTGTCCAACTGAATAATCCTATAAAAGGCTGTGGTGTGTGCCTGGCCTTTTTATCTTTATGTTGGGAAAGTAGTGCTAGACTCCATTTGGCCTTTAATACATGAACACTTAATCCAGTATATCTCCAAATCCAGTATATCTCCAAAGAAATGTGCTAAGTGAAATCAAATATAATAATTAAGAATTCAAAAATTGTGCTACTTTTCAAAAATAGAGACCACGCACAGAACCACTGAATTGACAGTATAATCTACTGCTTAACATACTTTTTAAAACAAATCTGAAATAGAAATCCTATGTTTTTTTATTAGCAGCCATATTAAAGATTTCTGTGTAGTGTTTTCCATCACCTGATACCCAGTCTACGTCATGTATTTTTTACCAGAGATTTATGTATTGACAGCATCTGCCCTTTCATGTTCTGCAAAAGTCTTTTAGTATGATGGCTCTATCCATTACCTTCCATGTTTGAAGCATATAAGCCTCTGAACTTGAAGACTTATGCATGGGATGAAGCACAGTGGCAACAATTCAAGTGTCTTGTAACCTGAACTTCATTTAGATGGCCTTTTTTGCTCTCTAGATGTAGTGGCACAAATGGGGAGGTGGCCTACGCATCACCCCAGCTTCCTCCCTCTTTACCCTTGGCATGCCCCTTTTCCCTTCCAGGGCAAACTGCTGACCTTGGACTCATAATTTCATCTGTAGCTGGCTACCAGGGGGTGGGGTGGGGGTTTCCCTGGTCAGAGTTCCAGCTGCAGCTCTTGATCCTGGGGCTTCAAATAAACCTCTGGTCTTCCTGTTTTGAGAAGCCAAAGGATTACACCCTAAGACATGCTGGAAGGTGGCATGGGGGGAGAATATCCAACAACTTTGTAGTATTTAAAAGATAGTATTCACAGTGATAACATATCACTAGTTTTAAAAATAGCATTGACTACTTAGCAAGTGGTTTAGTGAAATATGAAATATGTTTATATGAAATATGTTTAGTGAAATATATTCTAAAAACATGGACACAAATAAAGCAGTTCTGCATTATACTGCATTTTGTGGGTATAGTATACTCCTGCATGAACCACTTTCAGATGTGGTTAATGAAAAGGAATATCCTGATAGATATGTAATCAGGGCACTAATTCACTATATTCACATGAATATAAATATGAGCCTCTATTTGTTTTCCTTTAGATTCTATACTTTTAGCACTGCTCATGAAAAGTAGAAAATGCTTCATGGTAGGTTTTCTGTTTTAGAGCAACACTGGATGTGTTAAATATATACTGTAGCCTGTTCAGATTGAATTGAAGTCCTGTTGTTTTCAATGGGAGGATTAAGGCCATGCTTAAAACTTCCATCTGAAAATAATGACATTTTTAAAATGGTGTAACATGTTTGAATTGTGCCCTTTGATTTGGTGCCATGCCTGAGTTATTTTTTGTTTAAAATTTAATTCATGATCAATAGCTGTTCTCATTAATGTCTAATAGCTATGTTTGTGGGATGAATGGAAGAAGGAACATCAATATCTCTTTTCAAGAGCATATGGGAAAGGAGATTGCCAGAATTCTGTGGCTAATAATGCCAGAGGGCAAGCTCAGATGTAATGAACCATCTTTCAACCTTTCCCGAACCTGCTGCACTGGCTTGGGATGATGGCTGCTGTAGTCCAACACATCAAGAAGCTACCAGGAAGGGAAAGGCTGCCATAGTTCAGGAGGTCAGGAACAAGATTTGAATTCACATGCTCCTTCCTCCCCTCATGCACTATCTTTGATGTGGTCCATTTAAAATAGAGTTCTTCACTATAGACTTTCTGCCTCAAGCAGCCCTTGCACTTGATTAATTCCCATCATAGATTGTTGCTGTGGCGTGGAAACTCCTTCCCCCTATTGGACTGTCCCCCTGGTAAGCATATATTGGAGAACCAGCACTGTCTGGTGGTATTCCTCAATACCATTCTGAACCCCTACTTGTGTCTCTGTACACGAGGGAATTGTGAAGGCGATTAGATGAATAAAGACTGAAGGCCTCCCTTGTCCGTAGGGTCACCCAGTACATTCCACTAGTCTACAATAAGAAATCTGTACCAATTAGTGCAGCTGGGTGGCTACCATCCTGGTTCCCAAGCTGTATTGTAGGTTATAGGTTTGCAACTATAATTCTTCGTCGTGGCCTCTGTGCATCACACATATGGGTGCTGCACCTGCGCAGTGCCTAGGCCAGAAGATTAGAAACCTAATGGTTTTTGGCGGGAAAACTCCGCTCCCCTCGCTTTCAGTGGTATAAATAGAGTGGAGTGTCCGCCATTTTACTCAGTCTTTGCGACCGCCGTTCACTGTGCCTCGTACCTGTTCGTCCCTCGCTTAGATCTTTGTGTTCCTTGTCCGCTTTTGCACTTATCTCCTCTTAAACTATTCTTCTCTTACTCCAAGTTTGTTTCTCTTCCCAGTTCTTCATAAATCTTCATAAATCCCTTCATTTCTCTCTCTCCCTCTCCCTCTCCCTCTCCCTCTCCCTCTCTCTCTCTCTCTCTCTCTCTCTCTATATATATATATATATGTGTGTGTGTGTGTGTGTGTGTGTGTGTGTATAAAATCTTACCCTCTATACTGTCTTCTCTTTCTTCCTTTTCGTGATGGCGCAGCGAGCGGCATTCCGCAAATGCATCGAATGTGGATCCAAAACGTCACCTGCGGATCTACATGATCTATGCCTCCTCTGTCTTGGTGAGGGGCATAGAACTGACAAATGCAGCCATTGCTTGGCGTTGACCAAGCAAGCGAGGAAGAATAGGGAGAATCGTCTCCGAAAACAACTCTGGGACCAGGCCTTAATGCAATCTGACCAACTGCTCTTACAGCCTGGTTCCTCTTCGGCCGCTCCTCCTCCACTGCGAGCGCTCCTGCGAAGCGCCCTGCTTCTACTTCCGCCGCTCCTCCCCAGCTAAGAAACGGGAGAAGCACAAACACACTGGGTTGGATAAACCTTCTACTCATAAGAAGCCGAGGAAGGAGAAGGCGGACAAGCTCACTCGCAAGAGCAAGAAACCCGACCACCCCAAACACCAGGGCTCAGGCTCATCGGGCTTCTCGGTACCGACGGCCGCCACGGTACCAACTCCCTCGGGACTGGCCCTGCAATCTGCTATGCAGGTGACTCCGCCTAGATCCCCCAGGCCAATCATTCGGCCTGAGAGCGTGCCACCTCAACAACAGCAGGAGCCGCTTCGGGAGTCCATCTCTGATGGTGAGATTAGAGACTCCCCACCGAGGGAACGTTCTCCAACACCAATGCACACAACTGAGCCGCCTGTAGCTTTGCCATCGCCTCCCAGGCATTGTAGCCATTTGCCCGAACATCAGGATGAAGATTGGTTGGTGTCTGGATATGGTGCCCCCCCCCCCCAGCTGGGGTGGTTATCAGCCATATCCTTACTTTCCTCAGGATCGTAGATCACTATTGGTCCCGAGAGACGTACCATCCACCTTGAGGCGTGTGGAGAGAGGACGTCCAACCTCTCATGAAACCTCCTCCTCGAGTGACCGCCATCGCTACGATGAAGACTCCAATGAGTTGGAGGTCGACTCGACATCCCCCAATGTTGCGATTACCTCCCAAGGGCCTGCTTCACCTGACGAACCACATGTCTCCTTTACGGAGCTCATGTCCTGCCTCGTTCGGTCTCTTGAGATCGAAGCTCATCAGCAGCCAGATCCTTCCACAGATCGGTTCTACGACATCATTCGGGGAGAGCAGTCCACATCCTTGGCCCTGCCGCTAAGTACTACACTTCGCCAGGCTATGGTCCAGCCCTGGGATCCACCAGCCCAACTACAAGCTACCTCCCGTCAGTATGAGGCCATGTACAGAGTTCGAGACGACAATATTCCTTTTTTGCTTCGTCACCCGAAACCGAACTCTCTCGTGGTTGAATCCTTCCAGGGCAGGGAGTCCAGGGGACACACTGCCCCTCGCGACAAGGAAGGGAGGAAAATCGATATGCTTGCACGCCGAGTCTATGTGGCCTCTGGGCTCGGCGTACGCATATCGAATTACGAAGTAACACTGGTGCGTTACCAGTACTTCATCATGCAAAAGCTGGATAACGTTGCTTCCTCCCTTCCAGAACACCAAGCAGACCTCGCCAGGGTCTTCATTAAAGAAGCGATGCAGGTGGCGGTGCAACAGTCTACTGCAAGGCACCATGTAGACACTAATTCAAGGGCTCTCGTCAGTGCCATCTCTTTACGCCGACATGCGTGACTGCGCAACTGTAATTTCCCCAACGAAATGAAACGCAGAATTGAAGAAATGCCATTTGATGGCACCGGTCTGTTCCATCAGAAGACCGACTGCAAGTTAAAGGCGATACATGAATCACGCCTGACTGCATGCTGCATGGAGCTCCCTTAACAAAAGTGTAAGTGGCAGTGGCCTCGTCCCTCCTATCGGAATCAACAATACTACCCTTGACAGCAATATCAGCAACAACAGCAACGTCAGAGGCAGCAACCGCAACAGCACTTCTCCCAAGGCCGTCGACGCTTCGACGCCGATAAACGCCCACGTTGACGGTCTGGGCGAACCATCCTCTCTCTTCCAACACCACCTTCCCTTCTCCCTTTTGGGGACCGGCTCCAGGGCCGACTCCCCATTTGGGAGTCCATTACATCTGATAGGTGGGTGTTACCTATCATTCAGTTCGGATATAGGATAGAATTCGATGTCGTCCCTCTGTCGAGCCTGATCTGTTTTACACCTTCTTCATCGGTGCTATGCGACGAGGTCTCCCAGTTACTTTTCAAGGGAGCGATTTGACAATTATCCTGCTTGGAGGAATTGCATGGATTCTATTCCAGATATTTTACGGTCCTGAAAAGGGACGATGGTCTTCGTCCGATTCTGGACTTATGGACTCTTAATAAGTACATCAAACCAAGGAAGTTTTGGATGACCACTTTACAGAATATCTTTCCGTTACTGAAGAGGGAGGATTGGTTCGCCTCATTGGACTTGAAGGATGCCTATTTTCATATTTCTATCCATCCTTTGCACAGACGCTTCCTACGTTTTACTGTCAGGTCCGATCTGTTCAAGTTCAATGTTCTACCTTTTGGCTACCGCCCCTTGAGTTTTTACGAAGTGTATGGCACCGGTATGCGCACACTTAAGAACAGGGAGAGTGCAAATATACCCGTATTTAGACGATTGGCTAATCGTTTCGGAATCCAAACAAGGTCTTCTGTCTGCTATACAAGTGCCTGCGCTCTACTCGATGCTCTTGGTCTGAGCATTAACCGCGAGAAATCGTCCCTTATTCCCACGCAGATCATCGACTTCATCAGGGCACGTCTCGACTTTACACGGGAAAGAGCCTTTCTTCCTCCGGAACGTCAAGATGCCTTATGCAGCCACATTCGTCAAATCCGACTGCACAGAACAGTTCCAGCCATATCCATTCAGAGACTACTTGGGCACATGGCTGCTGCAGTTGCCATTGTCCCGTATGCCAGGCTGCGTATGCGGCCCATACAACTGTTTTTCAACGCTGCGTTTCACCCGCAACAGGATCCTGCCACCAAGCCGTTTGCAATCCTTCGTACTCTAACTTGGTGGACCATCCCAGGCAACCTGTCTATCGCTTCCCCGTTTCGACCACCTCAGCCAACAACAACCCTGTACACCGACGCATCCCTCCTTGGATGGGGTGCAGCATGTTCGGCACTTCGGGTCCAAGGTACTTGGAACTGACGAGAAGTAAGGAAGCACATCAACTTCCTCGAACCTCTGGCAATTTTCAATGCCCTCAAGGCTTTTGAGACTGTGCTATGTTGTCAAGTTGTCCAGATTGCATCAGACAACATACCTGCTGTTTTCTATATCAACAAGCAGGGCAGCACAAAATCTCCAGCCTTAGCACGCCTATCGATGGACATTTGGGACTGGTGCATACCAAGGAACATAATGCTCCTGGCGGTTCACCTGGCAGGAACCGACAACATCGAAGCAGATATGTTAAGCAGACAGATGTCAACAACCCACGAATGGGAGTTGGACAGACAAATTTGTGAGAAACTTTTCCATTTGTGGGGTTACCCAGACATGGACCTGTTCGCCACCCGGGACAACAGAGTGTGTGCCCTGTACTGCTCCAGAGCGGGCATCGGATTGGGATCGATGGGGGATGCTCTTATGATCCCTTGGAACAACATGACTTTTTATGCGTTCCCTCCGATCCCACTTCTAACAAAAGTGGTGGCGAAAATAGCCCAAGACAACGCCACAGGGATATTAGTAACTCTGTGGTAGCCGAGGCAACCATGGTTTGCCACTCTTTTGCTACTATCCAGAGGAACGTTTCTTCGCCTACCAACTCTTCCTCACATTTTAACACAACAAGACGGAGCGATCCGGCATCCAGATATAACCTCCCTGAAGTTGACGGCATGGCGGATCAACTAAGCCATGTCACTGAGTCGATACCGACGACACCTCACTCTACGGAGGACTCTATTCAGCAGACTGTACATACAGCTCCTACCTCAGATTCGACAGCAATCGCTGCGGTACTGACACCTGTTGACCAAGAAATTCAGGCGATTCTCAAATCTTCATTGAGACCGTCCACTCGTTGCTCTTATGCGGCTAAATGGAAAAGATTCTCATCTTTTGCAGAGTGCCATTCCTTTCTTCCTGGGATGGCTTCAGTCGACAATATTCTGCAATTTCTCTTGCAACTGCGTCACTCGGGACTTAGACCATCATCCATCAAAGTTTATGCAGCCGCCATATCCCATTATCATGGCGCTGTCCACGGCTTATCAGTTTTCTCTCAACCGCTGGTTCGACGCTTTATTAGGGGACTACAGAACTTACATCCGTCTATCCGCCCTGCTATGTCAACATGAAGCCTTTCTGTAGTACTCCAGGTGCTTACCAAGCCACCGTTCAAGCCTTTGTCAACTGTGGACCTACGCCTCGTGTCGTGGAAAACGGCCTTCCTCGTAGCAGTAACATCAGCTCGGAGAGCTAGTGAAATTTGTGCTCTTCACATAGACCCACCATTTCTGAATTTCCATAAGGAAAAAGTCGTTCTTTGGATGGATTTTTCCTTTCGCCCTAAAGTGGCTACGCCATTCCACTTGGGTCAAGACATTGTTTTGCCGGCGTTCTTTCCATCGCCTTCGAATCCGATAGAACGTGCTCTACACACGCTTGATGTTCGCCATTGCTTGGCCTTTTACAGATCCCGTACTGAATCTTTCCATAGTACTAATAGACTTTTTGTTAAGTACTCCGAGCGTGACAAGGGATCGCCGATCACAGCTCAAAGACTTTCTAATTGGATCGTCCAGACTATAGTCCTGGCTTACCAGCTATCGAAAATAGACTTACCTGTCTCTCCAAGAGGTCACTCCACACGAGCAGTAGCAACTTCGTCCGCCTTTGCCGCAGGGGTTCCGCTTCAGGATATCTGCAGAGCTGCAACGTGGGCTGGTCTGTGTACCTTCGCCAAGCATTATCGGCTTGATGTACGTGCCAGGCAGGACTACTCTTTCGACAGAGCTGTTCTTTCATCTGTTCTTCGCTGACAACACCTCCCTCCTCTGAGTTTGGTAAGCTTGCGAATCACTCATATGTACGATGCACAGAGGCCACGACGAAGAAAAGCAGGTTGCTTACCTGTAACTGATGTTCTTCGAGTGGCCATCTGTGCATTCACACAACCCACCCGCCGGCCCCACTTGGTGTCGGTGAGTGGATGTTTTTTCTCTTGGTACCGTACTCTAATTTTCATCGGTACTGTTGGGATATGATGATGCTTGTTGTTGATTTTATTCTCAACCTCTAGAGGGCGAACGTTCAGTCTTCAAGACTGAGTAAAATGGTGGACACTCTGCTCTAGTTATACCACTGAGGGGGAGGGGAGCGGAGTTTTCCCACTAAAAACTGTTAGCTTTCTAATCTTCCGGCCTAGGCACTGTGCAGGTGCAGCACCCATATGTGTGAATGCACAGATGGCCACTCTAAGAACATTAGTTACAGGTAAGCAACCTGCTTTTCTCAGTTAAAGCTCTGCATGAAAAGAGTTTTCTTGTATGAAATCTCAGTATGTATACGAATCAGTATGATTTTATCCCAGTAAAATCAGTATGATTTTATCCCAGTCCTTGAAGAACTTCATTAGGATTGAGCAAATACATTTTACAACCTTGAGATTCTATTGAGCAGTTCAATTAAGTACCTGTTCATGAATAAGTATCTAGATGATCTAATGTAGTGATTTTATTGACATTGTTTTTATTCTCTTTTACCACTCTTCTTTGCAGCTGAAAGTGAGTGGAAAGAATCTGCTTAATGTTTGCAAATTGGTATTTAAAATAAGCAGAAATGAAAAAAATGATTACCTCATTCAAAGTGACAGAATATTGGGTATGTACTCTATTTCTATCTTCCATAATTTATCTTTTGTAATTTACAGGGGAAAATATATGACTAACAGATAAGTGAAAGGGGGGCACTGTAGAAATAAAGTACTAATGCCAACATGATTTTCAACAATACTTTGGTTTTAAACCCCTTTGTTTCATTAGATCCTAAGCATAAAACCATTTAAGTTTCTACAAACAGTTGTGTTTTTGCTGCATCTCTTGCACTATGTATGTCTTGTCTTTAATGCTTCAAGGATAGAGGAAAAGCCCCAAATATTTGATTTAAATATTTTGAACTTTAGTGCCTTATACATAGCATGAGGGGTAGGGGAAAATGGCCCTATATTATTCTTTCTATACTATCTATCTATCCTACTGTCTTGAAACTGGAAAATATCATTAATGTGAGGTAGTCAGAAACACAAAATGCTTGATCTCATGGGAACGGAACAGGCACTTACAGTCTTGCACATGTGCATTCTGAAATGTACTCCTTTTCTGAACTCATTGGATGGCTCTTGAAAATAGGACATGAAAGTAACAGAGAGAGAACCATAGTCACAGTTGGTTTCCACTGTCACAAAAGCATGTTACTTTTAAAACTAAAATGGAATATAGTTTTTATTATGGGGTACTAAAATTCTGAAACACACTGCCATCTATCATTTTTTAATATTATTACAAGTTCCCTGATAAGAAATGTGCAGAATAAGCACATTTCAAACTATTATAAGAAAGCAGACCCTTGCTAATTTACTTCTATATCTTGTAGCTTTTACTGGGAGCAATTTTATGCTTCTCTCACACAAGGATGTTTGCATAAAGTGAATTCCCACTCTTTCCAGGAAAGTCCCCCTATGCACCTCAGAACTGGGTTTTGAAATGTAGGGCAGGAAGCCCTAGCTGGAGTAGCAAATTAAGGAAATTTGGAATTTAAAAACCTCTATTCATAAGAATTCCATTATCTCAGGATTCCTCCAACCAATTCCTCCTAATGCTGCACCTTTTCATCGCATATCCTGGGCTAGTTCTAGAGCTTAGGAGTTGCTTTTCATTGTGGGAAAGAAAGGAGAAGATATCTCCAATGTGTAAGTGTTCTTGTGCTCACACTGCATTGAATATAGCTAATTATATTAAGGTCCCTAAAACACTTCAACTTAAAGTGCAGTGAATATTGTTTTATAATGTTATGAAGAGAAATGGCACCAGACAAAAACATTCATATTAGTATTCATATTTTTCGCAACAGATTCTCTGCTTGAAATTCTGAGAGCTGAAGACTTGCAGGCAAATACTGAGGCGTTTCTTTATTGCATGGGTGCAATAAAATTCATATCTGGAAATGCAAATCTCATTAATGAGATGGTCAGCAAGGGAACTGTTGAGATACTTCTACAGCTAATGAACGAGATAAATAAAATTAATGAAAATGATGCTCAGTTTTCCAGTTCAGGGCACCTCTTGGTCCAGGTCAGAGTTAAGCTTTTATTTCAATAAAATATTATTCATGGACAGTCTGAATGTTGCTAAAGTAATTATAAAAATAATTAAATTATTTCATTAAAATGACACTAATATTAGTGATCAAACTGTAAATATTATTTCAGTGGGACATAGTTTCTTTAAATTAACTTTCACTGGATTCTGCATACAAGAATTAACTTCATAAATGTATTTTGATAATTTTATTAGTTTTGAAATCAAAGTATAAAAATACATGAGATTTGAGTGAGTCTATTACAATGAATATATCTACACTATGTATTCCCTTATGTTTTATGTATGATAAGACATACTCATATAGTTAAAGGTTATTATGCATAGACTTCAACAAAGGCAGCCTAGGTAGCCACATTTGTCCATTTGTAAATTGTACCTAAAAGCCACCTAATCAGAAGTTTCAAGTTCTCCACCCATTGTGTTATTTCAGGTAGCTGTTTGGCCTTCCAGAGTATGCAATATTAGTCTTTTAGCTGTCAAAAAGGCATGAAAAATCCATTTATGTTGACCTTGTGATTTGTTCCAAGAGATGGGTAGATGGTTGAGAACTATACAGCTGTCCATAAATATTAAAGAACTTTTCACCACAAGTGTTATCCAAATTATTACCCTCTCCAAAAAGGAAGCAGCTATTGGGCATTGCCAAAAGATGAGTAAGAGAAGCATTCTTTGTGGTGCACTTCCAACAATTGCCAATTTAGTCGAATCCTTACTGATGTCATGGTGCCCAATATATTCAAAACATTTCTTATTTCTGGAATAAACATAATGTATGTTTGTGGTGGTTCCACCCCTGCTTGGCTGGCTGATTCCAGAAGGTGGTGCTAGGGGGATTGTGACTCTCTGCCATGGCAGCTTTGCCATGGAGTTCCTCGGGGTTCCATTTTATCCTCCATGCTTTTTAACATCTACATGAAACCACTGGGAGAGGTCATCTTGTTTGGGCTGCGGAGTCATCAATTCACTGATGACACCCAGCTCTAACTCTCTTTTACATCTAATCCAAGTGAGGCACTGAATGTCCTGAACCAGTGCCTGGCTGGGGTGATGGACTGGATGAGGGCCAATAAATTGAAGCTTAATCCAGACAAGATGAAGGTCCTGCTGGTAGGTGGTTTAGCTTCCTGGATAAGTGTTTCCAACCCTGTTCTGGATGGGGTTGCACTCCCTCTAAACGACAGGGTGTGCAGTTTGGGAGTGCTCCTCGGTCTGGAGCTGTCCCTGGAATCCCAGGTGACGGCTGTGGCAAGGAGCGCTTTCCTTCAGATTCAGCTGATGAATCTGGATGAGCAGTGCCTGGCAATGGTGACCCATGCACTGCTAACTTCCCGATTGGACTACTGTAATGCGCCCTATGTGGGACTGCCCTTGAAGACATATAACGCTGGTCCTTTAACACGTACACTGGCTACCAGTTGAAGTCTGGGCCCAATTTAAGGTGCTGGTGATGACCTATAAAGCCCTAAACAGCTTAGGACCTGGTTACCTGAAGGAGTGTCTCCTTCCATATGTGCCTGCCTGCCCCTTAAGATCTGGAGCAGAGGCCCTTCACCGGGAGCCCTCCTTGAAGGAGATCAGTGATTGTGGAATACGCTCCCCAGAGAGGTTCGCCTGACCCCATCACTTTATTCTTTTCAGTGCCAGGCTAATTTTTTTTCTCAATGTTTTAAGGGTTGACTGTGTTTAATTATGGGTTTTATTGTTGTCTAGTTAAGAATTTGATTGGGATGCCGTGTTTTATTTTGTCTTATTGTTAAACCTTCCCGAGACTACAGAAAGGGATAGTCCAAAAAGTTTTAAACATGCAAACAAACAAACAGACTCAATGATATAATGAAAGATTGGGAAGCCAATTCTACCCTAGTTATTTATATGAATTAATTTTTAAATTTATATGTTACCCACTAGTAACAATGGATTCTTTAGATGTCTTACAATAAAATCTCAACTTGCATCATTTTCATGGATGTTCATGGCAAAGTGCAACCTCACAGGAAACAAAGCATTACGTTTTTGGAAATAAATAGAGATACACCATGTAAAACATAAATAATTTAGGCATTACATTAAATGTATTTACCCTATTCCACTGGCTTAAGATGCCCCATGTCAGTAATCACCTTACTAGAAATTACTCATTAATTGACTTGAAATTAACTTAATCACTTGAAATATATTGTAGGGTTAAGTATTCCCAAATGAGGGATGAACTCTGGGCAAAAATTGCCAATTGAAATTGCTAATTAATTAGCTTACTAAGACATATAGACTCTTCAGTTGATGATCAGACATTGACCAGTTAATGGAATAGCCAGATAAATATTCAAAATTATTAATCATCTGCATCAAAACTGGAACATATAACTTGAATTCCAAGATAAACAATAGAAAACTGTTCACATAAAAAGTAAGTTTAAATGCTAAACTATTATGCACAAATTCATAAATATCAACATCTAATCAGATACCTCATGCCAGGGTTTCCAAACATAAATATCAATGGAGAAATGGAACATCCCTGTCTGGTACCTCTCCTAAGTAAGAAAAAGTAATTGTTTCTGACTTTAGGACTGAATTTCAATTTTAACTCATTTCTGGAATTCTGCAGGAAAACCAAAATTTTTCCATATAGCCGAAATAAATTTCCAGTGAATGTTCTCAAAACATTATCTACATCCACAGAAAAAATGGTAGCACTATCTGTTTTATCTATAATTAAAGCAATCAGATCAACAGCCAAGTCTGAGATAAGATTTCTGTCTGTCTTTGCTGAATCCCATTTGATCCAATGGGCATAATTTAGTAATTTGTTGTAATCTGTCAGCCAGAAGTTCAGTTAATATTTTATTGTAGATGTTGATACTGATTAATGAAACGGGTTGGTAATAATCACAGTAACTATGATTTCCATTAAGAATTACACTAATATAAGCATTATTAGATATTGATGAAAGTGAATTCATGTAAAAATGAAATTATACAGATGATAAAGCTTGGAAACTAAAAAATTAGAAAATGTTTTATACCACTCAGTTGGAAATTTGTTCAGCTCATGTCATTTCTCAATTTTAGTATTAGTTATTGCTTTCATATGTGAAGGCCTGATAAAGAGTGCCTTTGAAAAATATTTTAACTGCATACATGTATAAAAATGGTACAATATTAGTTTATCGACAACGTAAAGACTTTCTCTGGCTTGTTTTTTATTTAGATGATCAGCTGAACCAATCCTCAGTGTGCTGTCACACTCTATAGGTAAAGTTTGGATCTCCTTAAATTGTAGAAAATCTGTCCCAAGCAGTTTTATTAAGAAACGTTTTCCTTAATAAAACACTTCTTTAAAAAGCATTAAGTAACATGTCTATTATGCATGTGCCTTTTTTGTACTTGGGTCCTCCATATTTGTAAATAAATGCTGTGCCCTCTAACAGTAAAGCATTTGTAGATATAAGTGCAGCTTGCGGGAGGCCAAAAAGAACAATGGAAGAGTGGTCCACAAAATATTTAGAATCATTGTGCAGAGTCTAGAGCAACAGTTGGTCAGCTTACAGTGCATAAACAGTAGGATACAAAATATTTTATTAAGTAGTTTTGTATAGCCCAATGTAACAAAAATACATTTTAAAATGATACTATCTTATAAATAGTTACATAAAATGTATACATTTAAGAGACTGAATATACATATAATGATCTATAATGATCATAGTCTAAGAGTGACGACTATGTTATTAGGAACATTAAGGGAGATTACTTATTACATGGCCTGAGAATGTTCAATAAAGAATTCCCAGTTGTGACTCCTCTTGCCAGTTTCTGTTCCTTGCAATAGCTATGACTGAAACTGCTAGATTGAATTTAATTCTGTATTGTATTTGTTTTGCTTATTATATTAAAACATGGATATTATCAAGATTTCAGGATCATTTAACAAAAGTTAAAAACTTACCATACCAGAACCTTGCTGGTAAAGCAGCATCAAACCACAACGCAGTCTTGTTCATGCAGCTTTCTGAGTTTGCCCTTTCCTTGAACCAGACAATATTCTTATCGTATGGCAAAAAAAATTACACAGGATTGATAATGCAAGTTGCAGTGTAATGAATTGTTCCTGCTTATTTACCCATAACCAGTTGTGACAAATAGAATGATAAATGTCAGTGGTTTCAAGATTGAATATGAAAGCTGCTCTGCCATCCCTGTTAATATTATGTTCCGGCTTTCTCACTCCATTTTGGTTCAAGTGGAGCCTTTCCCTTCTGTACAGGCCCAGCTTGTCATAAATTGTTTCCCAGTGCCTAACAAACCCTCCTCTCTATACCACCCCCTTACCCACACATTGAAACTACTCAGCTGCGCCTGTCTAGCTGGCCCTACAACTCCTTCACCGAGTTAGTGAAAAAATGATAAATCGAATCAATGTTTTGTCTCCCCTCACTCTGTTCTATTATTAAAGGCAAAAGCAAGCTAGTAGACAGGCAATTTTCAAAGGAGATTAGAAAAGGGATAGAGAATCAGTGATGCAAAGAGATGCAAGATGAATGTCCTATTTAGAGGTAATAGTGAATGAGAAAGCTCTCATGCTAGTATGGCTGATGATGAAACATAGGAATTGGGGCTTGGTTATTGGCAAAGATGGAACTCAGAGACCACTTTTAAAGGGGCTTTATGACAGTGTAGTGATGAAGAACACTAGACATCATTAGAGGTGTTCTCATCAGAGCAATCTTTATTTTGCTTATATTGTATTTCATAGGAACTTTCAGGTTGTTTGGGTTAATGTTGGAGTAAGCAATATTACCATTATGGTACATAACATCTTTGGGTTTTTTCATATGTATCTGAAAAAGACTTCACGTGGCATTTTTAATGGTTGTGAGATACATATTTTAAACAAAAAGAATCTGGTCTGAGATGACAACTTGGCCTATCTTAAGTAATTTTACTGTTTGCATTTTTATTGAGATGTTCCAGTTTAATAAAGAGGGTTTTATGTATCTAGAGATTAGGGAAAACATCCTTAATCTTTACTGTTTTACTAGATCAGCTGTAGCATGCATTACTTCAAACCTCTGGCTTGGAATATTAATAACTGAAAAATTTCCTACTCTATTCATTTAATAAATTACCTGAATCTGAAACTTAGAAATATGTATCCATATCTAAAGACATAATTGTGACTAGTCATCTGATGATAACATAAGACATTTAATCTCATCTAAAACAACAGTTAATGAAAGTCTAGCAAAATAACTAGAACTCCTACTGTATTTATTGGTAGCAAAAACAGCTTATTTTTTCTAAAATCTATTCTATTCTTTAGTCAGCAAAAGAAAAAGTTAATTACTTGCATTTTATTAATTTATGTTTCATTTTTGTTTGCATTATATAAAATAGAATAGTGGGAACTAAGTAATACTAAAATTCTTTCTTCTTGCTGTCATCCTCATAGTAGTAGGATTTGTACATGTGACATTCCCACATAGTAGCAGATTGAAGCAGGCATTTTCCTCCCAAACACTTCCATCCCATCTTAGAAAACAATCAGCAGTCCTGTGCAATGGGGCTTTCAGAGCACTCTTGGTCGATGCACTCTAATCCAAAATGACATTTAAAAATGATTGCATTTAAACCTTCTTTTACCTGCCACCCTTCATATCTCAGGTTATCACTTGTTGAAAAGGTGAGGTTATTACTGTGCATTGGTTTAGTTATGAAGAAGACATCCAGAGTATAGAAAGCTGTTTTTTTTGTTTTGTTTTTGTTTTACTAATTGCTACTTCTTATCTCAATATCAACAGCCTTGCTCTGATTGGCATACGTCTTGTTATGTATACTGTGATATGTGCCTTCCTTATTCTGAGCATAGTAGTTAGAATATTTGTATGTACGGTGAAATGTAAAAATAATAATAGAAAACAATCAACATGTAATAACATTGTAGAGGAAAAATGAAAGCAGTCCCAGCAGTTGGTCACTTACACACCAAAGGTCTGTCTGCTGACAAAATATTCTTAGTTCTTCCAGAATCTCTCTTTTTCTATTGTTGGTTAATAATGGTGGTGGTGGTGGTGGTAGTGGTAGCAATCATGGTCATTCATAATAGGATGATTGAGTCCCATAGAGTATACTGATCTGAAGATGCATATATGGGAAGTTACTATTTAATAGCGTTACTATTAAAAAGCCTATACTGCTAGTAGAAAGTAATCTCTACTTCTGACAGTTGATGGCATTCACAAGATCTCATGACTTGATCTCAAAGTATGGGGAAGTACATTTAGAAGCAGGTTGGATCCAGGCTATATAGCACCTCAAATGTTAAAACCAGCACCTTGAATTTAGGCCAGAAACAAGTACCAGTTGAGTTCTTAAAGTCCTAGTTAAATCTTTGTCATGTAGCTAGTCTGGGATTCAAGCTGTGCTCCTGCATTCTGACCAGCCAACATTTCTAAACTACCTGCACAGGGCAGCCCTCTGTTAGCTGTATCTGGTGGAAAGGAAAAAAGCAGAATATTTTTATCATATTAATGAGACCTCTGCACCCTCCTAGCAAGGTAAAAGTAGATCTATTCCCAAATAGTGTCCTGAACTCCCATTCTACAAAATCATTCCAGAAAGATATCATAGTTGATGGTATTGAACAATGAGAGATCCAGAAAAAGCAACTGGGTTGCACTCTCTCTCTTTCCTGGCCAATGAAGTTTCAGTTCTAAGCCTTGGTTGAAACCCAATTAAAATATGTTTTGGTAAACTGGGGCTATATGATCATTCTAGTACTTTGGCTATAAAGGAAAGGATTGTCACTAGTGTATGCAGTAGTGAAGAAACACTAAGCAATTGGCAGAAGGGGAAGCAAACAGAGTTACTTCTTGAAGAGGAATAAAAGTTCTCCTTTTATTTTTGGTAAAAGGTTCTCCTGCTTTTAAAATAGGAAAGCGATGACCTGTTTTTAGAAATTAAGCCTGTATCATTGTTTCGTAGTCCAGAGTTTAAATAAGACATACTATTTTCTGTTTCAAGGGTCTCATAGAACTGGTATCAGCTAGATCTAATATTGTTATATTTTCAAAAGTGACTGTGATTCATGATAACATTCAGATTTTTTTTCCCTCAGCTCACTGCCACTTTGCGAAACCTGGTTGATTTGCCTCAGTCAAGGTGCAAACTCCTGGACTATGGAGCAATTCCAGAGCTTTGTCTGATGTTGGAGAAACGTATAAGTGACAAAGATATATGTACCAATGTGGCCAGAATATTCAGGTAGCTATCAAATTCTTAAATTATAATGTGTGTGGTTGCTGCTGCTGCTAATGTTTTGCTTGTTCAGCAACTACTTCTTTCTTTAGTCTGTGGCCCTATGTAGATGCTCGTAGTTCGTTTGCCTTTTGAAGTATTTTGTGCCACTGCCTAATGTAAATGTGCTGTTTTAATACTGGGATTATTCTGGATTTTCTTTTAGTGGGTTTACTTTCTTTTTTACAGTCTAAGCCATATATATCTTTATACACAGAAACAGACTCTGGTCCTACAATAGTCAACAAGTACCATGAACATAGCTGGACTTTCCCATTGTCTCCTGTAAAGCAGCTTGTATTTGCTTTGTGTAGGCCAACATAGGACCTAGCTACATGTTTCATCCATGGATACAGGCTGTATTTACAAATAAGTGAGCTTCCACTCCTCAAGCTGTACAGTGGTTCTTAACTAAATGTTTGATCTGTCTTTGATTCAGGAATGGCCAGCTAATCTTAAAACCCCCTTGCAGAAGCTGTAAAAAATGTAGGAAATAGATAGGAAAACATGTTACTTTGCATGTATAGGTTCCTAAATACAACTGTTAATGGGGATAGTGCACAGCTATAAAGACCTATACTATTGACCAGTTCTTGTAACCGGATAGCTGAAGCCTCTATATCTTGCTTGGTCTATTTCTCCCCTCCCAGCAACCATTGTCCTTCTCTTAAAAGACTTCAGTTCTCCTGTTTCTGCCACTTTCTCTTGTCTTCCACTACTGCCCTTTTTTTCATTTCCCTGCTCCTCTCTCCTACCTGCTCCTTTCCTTCTCACAACCTAGTCTATGAATATTGAAGAATTGACATGTAGAGTTCCAAAGAAATTGTGGGATAAATGTTGATGAAGTTAAAGATTACTCCTGATCTTGTCTCCAATTTCATTCTTGGTCTATTTTTCCTGCTTGAAATATGGCTTTGGCTTTGTCTGTAAGAAACCCTAGTGTCTGCTTTCTGGCTAGCCCCAAAGGAGGGTTTCTTGTCATCTTCTTCCACTGTATTTGGAAATAAATCAGATTCAGGTTCCAGCTGGCATTACTCCATGCAATCAGATTAGTAACTCATTCATTGCAGTTCTCAGTAAAGTTACCCATAAAGTTAAAGGTATTTTTACTGAACTGCACTAGAGGATAGGTAGGATACTGACTTTTCAAAGTGTGCCCTGAAAAATATTTAAAAGCAAAATGAATTAATTGCCTTGGGTGGGGGAAACTTACATTAAAATACCCTACTTATATATGTTATTATTTTTAAATATACAGCAAACTTTCTTCCTTCAATGACTGCTGTACAGCTTTGGCAGATTGCTCCAGATGTTACATCTTATTTTTAGCCCTGCTAAACAAACACCCAAAGAAGCAGGTCAGTTTTTTCATCTCCCGCTTTTTATATTTTAATCCTCTGATGTGTCTGTGGTATCATATGCATGTAAGCCCATTTTCAGTGACCCACTTTCATGTGCATTTTACAAGATAGACATTTTAAATGTTGACAAGTTTTTCTTAGTAGTGAATTATTGAAATGGACTTAGTTTAGATTAAAGTTCAAGACAACATAAAGGAGAGACTATTGATTAACTTGCCCCTTCTTAGCACACAGATGAGTAATTTTTTTGAATATTTATATATTTTTTTCTCGGATACTTCGCATCAGGGATGATCAGCATAAACCCTTTGTGCTATAGCTGGCTGGCCTAGGCTTTCTGAATACAAAGCCTGCTGCTGAGCAAAGCTAGATAAGCTGGGAAGGAAACAGTGTATGCTTTGCATTGCTCACCCTTCGCTTCAAATCGGGACTGGAGAACTTCAGGCCTGGGAACTGCATTTGAATCTCCTGGGCTCCCAATTTGGCCCTTCTTCAAACCATAGATTGTTTGACGATTTCCTGGCTTTTGTTCTTCCTCCACATAACCCCCATCCCAAAAGCTTTAAATGCCCCTACTAAGGCTTAGTTTCTGGCAGTAAGAGTACACTGAGCACAGTATGCTACTGGTTTTGTGCTTTGGTGCTTGGCTGCACCCCTTTTCCCTTTGGCTCCAATTACCACTGAAAATTCATAAGAAGAAGAATAACAAGGACAAAGTAAATGAGATCTTCAATGGACAGTTGTATATATAGCTAAAAAAGAAGAAAACGGCAGGCAACAGGGGCTGTTCTGGATTGGCACCCTGTAGGGATGTGTGAGGAATCCAGTTTAAGGGTGGGAATCCATTGGATTTCCACAGCAGCTCCCTGGACTCTGGCCTACTTTCTCCATTCCCTAAACCCACCTCACATGAAGCATTTACATGGGTGTCCAACAAGAAGTAAGTTCGAACAGAGTTCTGCTTCTGCAGATGTGGCTTGTGGGTTTGCATACTTTGCACAAAGAATTACTTCATGTTTATATTTTGTGCAAAAAAAATTACACAGCATATGTCTTGCAGAAAGAATGATGTGCTTTGCATACTTTGCAAATTAATCTGCTAGTGTTCCTGAGCGTTTGCAGACTTGATCTCAGCTTGGCTCACTTCCAGGTCAGTGCCAAGCATGAGAAAGAAGTCTGGTGGGAAGAAAGCTGGATCTGACCTGCTACTCACATTGGAAGCTCCTATTCACATGAGAAATGTTGTGTTACCAAAATAACAAATAACACGTTTGTGCCCTTGAAGAAAGTTGTCCCCCACATAATTTTGGGAAATGTATGCTTCCTTAAAGTTTCTTATTTTTTTAGAACTTTTTTGAAACCTGCCTCTGTGTGTGTGTGTGTGTGTACTCACGCACACACATGCATGTGTGCACATATGCATTTGATTATTGAATCATAGCCTAACTCATCGTTCAATCTCTTAAATATTATGGTACAAATGCTTATGTATCATAACTGATATTTTGGAATGACTAAACTGAGTAAGGAAAATAACCTTTTAAAAATAATTGTTCATCATATTGAATGAAATAACATGGGCTCTGGACTTGGCTCACTGAACACATTTCGGTTGAAAAGTTTTACCTTTTCAAGTTTAGTTTAGGAAGCTGGGCAGCCACTCCCCTGGCAGTCAGTTTAATACTACTTGAGACCAAGGAGGTGCTTCCTGCCTTTGAAGATGTGTCCCTCTAGCACTTACCATGCAATCCTACATATGTCTATACAGATGAGAGCTCCACAGAATGAAATTTATTTTCAGAAAAATGTTTAGGATTTAAGCCTTAGAGAATAATAAAAGTTAAGGTAAAGGTTTCCCTTTGACATTAAAGTCCAGTCATGTCTGACTCTAGGGGGTGGTCCTCATCTCCGTTTCCTAGTCAAAGGAGCCAGCGTTTGTCCGTAGACCGTTTCCATGGTCATGTGGCCAGCATGACTAAACACTGAAATGCATGGAATGCTGTTATCTTCCCACTGAGGCGGTACCTTTTTATCTACTTGCATTTGCATGCTTTCAAACTGCAAGGTTGGCAGGAGCTGGGACGGAGCAACGGGAACTCACCCCGTAGTGTAGATTTGACCCGGCGACCTTTCGATCGACCACCCGGCAGCATAGCGGTTTAAACCATGCCCCAAGAATAATACTTCATAGATAAACAGAAATATGTTTACTATTTAGATCTCTGGGGGAAATACAGGAAATGCTTATTAATTTCAGAAGAAGACTAACATATTGAAATGTCTATTGTAATGCAAACAAAAAGAAATGGGCTCATAGTTTAAGTGGTAATGATTTACAAGGACCAAATCTTTATCTAAATCTTCTAAGAGAACTCAAGATGTGGAATATTTTTTTAAAAAATTCTCTACCAGTAAGTGATCTAAAAGAATTCCTAAAGTCAATATACCAGTTAATCTCACTTCATAATCATCTGTTTATTTGTGTACCATTTTTAATGGTTAACTATGTACAATGTGAAGTACAACAAGATGACTTGGTTGTCAAACATATTTGTGGAAACTATAGTGAGGATAGTCTGGTAAACCAGACTATGCTAATAGGCAACCTTCATACAAATTAATTAAATAAATAAATCCACATGGATAAATACCCAAAATATTGAGGGGATAAAATGGTACATACTAATTCAGGATCCTAACTAGATAATCCTTGACATTTCCCTAACATAGAAGGTGGGCAGTTGGCTTGTGCCTAAGCAGAACTCAGTAGAAACTAATGGATTTTATCCGCAGTGACAAGGAGTTGTAGCTGGTGTCCTAAGAATTATTTGTACGAAGGCCCTTTTTTTTACTGAATTAATTACATGGAGCATGACCAGCAAGACCAAAATGATGTATGAACAACTATTTTGTGGTATTTTACATCCCATTAGTTTCAGCGGAACATATTTCCTAGTAAATGTGTTCTGTCACATTTTCAATATATATAGCTTTACCTTTTAAAATGAGACAGTTATAATGCTTAATACTAAGAGGCAAAAGAAGCTACCTCAGATATATACAAATTCCCAAGGGTATCTCTGTAGTGACTGAGCCAAAAGACAACCATGGGTTCCCCTGGCTAATGTGGTTGCACCAGGCTGGACTCCTCCGTGTTTGACATTGCAGCACTGTAAACATTTGAGGGACTTATCTCAGTGTAGGTACATCTAGAACTATGGCGCCAATGTTTTAGGATAGATAGTCTCAAAATCAGCTTTAATACAGGAAGCACATGTTCTGCTACATGTATAGGGTAACACATGTTTTTATACTTTAGAATAAGTCAGAACAATTCAACCCCAGCTTACATTATTTATTAATGCTCACTTATCTAGTTAAGAGTAAATCGCAAACATTCACTATATTTCATACTTCAGAAGTCACTTTGTCATTTCTTTTATATTGACTGCATAGTTTTAAGGTAGGGAAATTAGAGGTAAATGGTACAGCACGTATCTGACTCAAGTGTTCATAACTGTGCTGGATTGCATCTGTCTTTTCTTTTGATTGACTGATAAAAAGGAAAATTAAATCCCACTAATATGAATATGAACCATACAGGAAGCCATTTGAGTTGCCCTACTCAGTCAAATCTACAGACTTCATCTTATTCAAATCCAATACAAAGAAATCTCACTTTTGCAAATTGTAGCAGGTCTTTGCCAATCCTAAAGGCCAAGTAATCCAGTTGCTGGCATTACAGTGCAGACGCCCTGGCAGAAGTCATACCATGGCCAAACAGCCCCACTTGGCAACCCTGTTGACTAGTAAACTGTCCAGTTGCTGAACAGTGAAGAATCCTATTGCTGGGAATGAGTAATTAGTGTACAGTCAGCAACAAAAAAGCAAGAGATTCCTTTAGAATCTCTGCCCAGGCAAAGTGGAAAGGACCAAAAGAGATATACTCGAGAGGAAAAGAAATACACTGCAGTGGTATTGGTGCTAAGATCAACTCTCCCAGGAAGTGGTTTAGGCAAGGCCACAGAGGAGGTTGCGTCAAGGTTTTCCTTAAACAGTTCTAATCTAATAAATAGTACAGGTGCTAGGCTATAGGTTTCTCCAGAGCAGAGGACAGATCTGACACAATCACCAGGAAAGCACAGAGACTGTGCTCTTCAAAGAACCAGGTGGGCAACTTAGCGCTAAGTTAGCTAGACTAGATTTGCTATTTATTTGTCATTTACCATGGAATTGTCACTTTAAAGTGCTGAATGCTTTTGGTAAGTGATTAGCCTTTTTGGACCTTTTACTTTTTCCTGAACCCTTAATACATCATTTCCTCATTTCTCACCAAAGCCCAGACTATGTGTTTGGGGTGAAAAGGGAGAGGTTTAGAAGAGGGTGCACCATGCTATTCGTCATATTCGCATTCCTTTCACACCCAGTTTGCATGCACTGTGTTGAAAAAAAACATGTAATCTAGCTGTAGTTCCCCAAGGACTAAATGAAGCCCAGCACAAGAGACTTCAGGGGGATCTCTAGACAAGGGTTCCGAGGAACTGAGTGCTGCTGGAGCCTCACTTTGAGATTGGGTTTGTTTTACTCTTGGTAGTGGCAGGTGGTACCAGCATCGGTGCTGCTGCGCCAGGTCTTGCACTCAACAGCTGGGATTCCTGCAAGTCCCAGCCAGGCCACCACACTACCACAGCTAGTTACCCATGATGTGTCAGGCATACCAGGTCATTGACTTCACTCAGTTGTCTTACCACCCACAGAAGTGTGTATTCAGCTTCAGGCCACCAGTTATGATTGGTCAGGCACACAGTGCCCCAGTCTGGTAATGTTGCAGCTTTTCATAACTGAACTGAGGTAACCTGAGATGTTATTGGCTCTCTGAGTCCATACCATAACCTTGTGTGAAAAATGGAGAAACTTACAGTACTTAATTAAATTTAAATCTGTCAATACAAAGAGAAGCATGGTATTACTGGTAATTTCTTTTTGGGTGGTGATGGGGAACTGTAGGTGGGGAAAAATCACAACATATATCAGCCTAGCTGTATCATGCTTGTTTGCATTGTATATTCATCTGATCTATTATTTGCATGACGTACGTTTTTATGTTGATGAAAGTCACAAATATTACATATTAGAATAAATGAGTTGTTATGCCTTACCTCAACAGAAAATGTGTACCTCATGGCTCTAAAGTTTTTATAGTGCCAGGCATTAAATAGTTTTACAAGTGTTGCAAATTAGGCAGAGAGACAGAAAGGGACATAAATAGGGTGTGAAATCTATTCAAAAAATAGATTTCCCCTCCAGTCTATGTTGTTTTTTCCATTTTCAGCAGAAGCAGCCAAAAACTTAAGGTTTTTGAAAACTGTTCTTGAACCAGTGGACAGATCAATACTACAAACGTATGCTGCTTTTATATCATTCAACTAGCATATCACTATAATTATTTTCCCTAAAAATCCTGGAAATTGTAAATGATGAAGGTGCTGAAAATTCTGTATAACACATTTCCAATCCTCTCTGTCAAACTGTGTTTCCCAGGTGAGTGTAGGGATGGGGATTGACCATAAGACAGTTTTCACTGTCCACATCTATATCACAGATGTGGACAGTGAAGACCAAAGCTGGAAAAATGATTGATAGAGAGTAGACATGTGAACAAGCCACTATGATTACATTGTAAATCTTATCTCTGCAATCATAAATAATTTTACTTAAACCTTCTGTTGAGCCTGTTCCTAAATGTGTGAGCCTAACATTGTACCAAGTTGCTTTTTGAAAATATTGCTAGGCAATCTGTGTTTCTATAAGAGTATAATCCTATTGGAATGCCCATAAGCTCATAAATGGGGAGGCTTTTGGGCATCCATTTCAGAACAAGCAGACATGATCTTGGTCTCCCTGTCCTCCCACTCTGCGTTTTTATCAGATAGGCTTTTTTGCCCATCTAGCAGGATCACCTCGGAGCAGAGGAGACTGGAGTGGCTGCAGGACATCAAAGTACCCCCATTTACACCCCTTTGAGGTTATTTTCCTGACCTTAGAGAGCAACTGGAGGGCTTCTTTCCACACCAGCTGCTATGGAGAAGGGTGGACCTCTGAGTCCTGGCTCCAAGAACAGAGCATAGCCTTGCAATTTTCTAACCTTGCTGTTGGAAATCTGAAAAATCCTAGGGCCTTCCAAAGCTGTTGCAGATCCATGGGATCATTCATTAAATTACTTGATGTTATGTCTATGCTAAAAATGGGACAGAAAGGAAATGGTTTTATTTTGTGTGTTTAATGCAACGATTGTATGTTGTGTATTCCTTCATCTTGAAGTACAGAAGATCTGAATAGAAATAACCCATTTTTTCACAAATTAGTTGCTTTAACAGCAGGGTTATTTACTTTTTTTTAATTCCAGGATTTAGTCATCCGAATCATTTTCATTCTTGGCAATTTAACAGCGAAGAACAATCAGGCTCGAGAAGAATTTTTTGAGATGCAAGGAAGTATTAATACCTTGATAACGTTATTCCAAACTCATTGTGAAGCTGACTCTAATAGTAAATTGTGGAAAAATGACAGTGAATTAAAAAATCACAAGCATCCTTCTGAAGAAGAAGATGTCCTCATCAAACTTATAAGAGTGATTGCCAATTTGTCCATTCATCCTAGAGTAGGTGCAAGTCTAGCAACTAACCATCACATTGTGGCATTACTTATTACAGTACTAGGTAAGAACTGTTTTGAATTGTATCATCTGTAGATAAGGAAACATTCATGCTTGAGTTTCCCATAGTGAAATAACCTAAAGTAAGCTAAAACATAGCCTAACCTAAAACTTAAAGTCCTTAAATTAAGTAACTTACATAAAGCTAAAGTACTGAAATCAATTGGCTAACAAATGCCATGCTTTTCACACAAAAACACAGGGATTCCAGAGTGATTTACATAGATTAAGAATAGATCACAAACTAAAAGTCATGACAAAAAAGGAAAAGGTATTGAGAGGGTGGAGGAAAAAAGCAAAATCCAGGCAGATCTTACTTTTGGAGTTTTTGTAGAGAAGAATAGAACTCCCTGCACCTGTTACTTTGCTGGCTAATGTATGTAGCTGCCTTTACCATGCTGTTTATTCTGCAGGGATGGGGGCAGCCTCCAAGTGGCCTTTGGTTCTCTGGCCAATGGATAATGTGTTGTAAATATGGAATACACAGAGCTGGCCATACAGCCAAGTTCTCTGAGCATTCTTTTCCCCCACAAAAGCTTTGTCCGCTGTCATGGATTGTCATCCCCACCTACAGCTTAAGTTGCTGCTGTCCCCCATACTACATGCCGGCAATTCCCTTTTGTCACCCCCTGTAAGCCAAAGCAATTGGACTTTGTCTGCTGATTGCCTTTCCTAAAGCTCAAGAATTTCTTCTGGAAACTAAAATTGCCCACGTAACAGCTTGTAGTCTCTCATGAAAACCAGGCAATCCTATCTATCTATCTATCTATCTATCTATCTATCTATCTATCTATCTATCTATCCATCCATCCATCCATCCATCCATCTATCGGCCTTTTCCTGCTTGCTGGAAAAACAAGGCTGAACATAGTCTGGAGTTCATGTACCATGAAACCCATCACTAACACTATGCTCCTTTACACAATTATGTGGAATTTAGTTTTTGGTTAGTGCATTTAAAATTGTAGTAGCTTTGTCTATAATATTATGCAGCAAATAAAAAGGAACACAAGCTATAAAGATATAATCTGTGCATAAATTGTAAGGCTGTACTATAATCTGTGCATTCCATGTGGTTTATTTAATTGCAACTCTTACGTCAGGCCTGTGAGGGAAGTAACTGTTATGCTCTGTATTGCAGATGGGAGGTTGAAGCTGAGGAGACCTGCCTAAAATCACCTGTTTAGATTTGAACTGGGGCTTCCTTATATGCATCAAGTCCTTTAACCTGCTATGTTACACTAACTCTCTGTTGTTGACATGAAGCAGAATTGCTGGGCTCCACAAAAGCCATTAATCCACTTGATTCTACATTCTATGACTATACTAGAAGTCTAAATATATGTAAATCTGAGATCCTATTTAGACAAGCGTTATCAAGTGATCGGTAATTATAAATAGGGTTTGGTGTTGACATCTCTTTGAAGTGTCTCTCCTCTCCCCCGCAAAATTTTCACAAGTGGTGCTGCATATCATTTATTAAGATGGTAATGTGAAAATACTAAGTTTCTAGCGAGAGGAATAAGCACATATGCATTCCTAGTTGGAAAAACAGTTGTGATTAAAGAATTTTGGAATAGCACAAAACAACTTGATTGAAATCAAGAACAGGTGTTTGCAGAACTTTTCCTCATGTTTTCTTTTATATAGTCTTTGGTGTGTTTTGTGGTATAGTCTGAAGTTGTGATGAGCTTCACAGATTGCCAATGCTTTGACAAATGTCATGTTTTCTTTTCTAAATCACCAGAATACAAATCAGTTGAAGAATGTGAAGAGCTGGTTATTAATACTACTGCAACAATCAATAATTTATCATTTTACCAAGTGAAGAATTCTGTAATCCGGGAGAAGAAATCATATATTGCAGAGTGTAAGGATTTTAAAAAATCAGTTTTGTCTCAGCTTTCTACTTTGTAATAGAAACATTTCCCATGAATATGAAACAATCAAGAAATAACGGCAGCATTAACAGAAAGTGGTGCTATTAACCTTCTCAATTTTTCAGATTATTCTGTAATAGTTGTTAAAGCTTACTTCCACAAGTAAAATTCTTTTGGAGGATGCCCTACTTACCCTTAAAGATGAAGACAGTTTGTGAACTAATTGGGCTGTGGAATGGTCAGTTAACTTCTTTCATTCTGCTGTCATCTGTCTGCATTTGCAACTTGGCTGCCACTAAAAATGGTCAAGAAACATAAATCTTAATTCAAAGTTGCCCTTTCATTTTCAGATGGGATAATTATGACATCACATGGGAAGCTTGAAGTAAAAAGCTCAAAAATATTAGATGAGCAGTCATTAACATCAATCTTCCCATATTCTGTTTCTAGCCTTAGAATATTTTTATTTATTTATTTATAAAATTTGTATGCCGTCCAATTACTAACGTCTCTGGGTGGCTAACAGCATAAATAAATTGACAACCCACTCTGGCTGCAATTAATAAAATACAATAATAAAATTCGATATTAAAACTTACTAAAATATTGATCGAATAATAAGGTTTTAACCTCATGCCAAAAACCATATAATGATGGTGCCAGGTGGACCTCTCTAGGGAGCGCATTCCATAGTCGGGGCGCCACCGCAGAGAAGGTCCTCCTCTGGATACTCTGTCTCTTAACATCTTTCACAGAGGGTTCCCGGAGGAGGGCTTCTGTTGCCAATCTTGTGGGAGGGCAAATATTTGCTTGAATTTATCATATCCTAAGTATTTTATTTTAGTAATTGGAGCCATATTTAAAGAATAATTGGAAACTGTTCTAGAATAGTTACATGAATAGAGAAGCAAGAAAGAAAATACCAAGGCTTCTAGTCAATGTACAGGGAGAGAGGTCACGGTCAGCAAGGACTAAAATAGTGGTGTTTTGGTGTATAGGTAATTTTTGTGAAAGGAGTGTCAGGTGAATGTTGGGATCAGAGGTAGAAGACAAGAAGTCAAGAAACTGGAAGTAAACAGCTTGTTCCAGGCCTCAGTGTTCTGAGGCCAGGATAGGAGGGAGCTTGAATGATCATTGGAAAGATAGGATGGGTCTAGGACTTTTTCTGCCTTTTATTTTTTTAAGAATAGGAGAATCAGGAAGGAACCAGTTTGAAGAAAGATGTTGCTTATAATACTGGTGAGGACAGAAGCACAATCAAGAGTCAGGAGAGGCTGAGATCAAGGGGCACATGAAGGGTTGGGATAGGATAAAAAAGCAGACCGAGGTATGTGTGCGGCAGGGAGAGAATATCAGAAGTTTATATACCTGCATACACACCAACATGCTACTAGTGAATCTTATGATTTATCCTTTGTACTTAGGTCATTTAAACAAAGATCCAAAAGATATGGGAAAGTGTGGTGTCTGATCAAAAGGGCTGGTTTCAGTGGACTGCTTGTGAGGACGGATATTGTCATTAGGTTCTGCCATATGCAATGTACAATTGCAATGTATGTCTGAACTTGGAACTTAAAATGTCGTAGTGTGTAGCACATCTGAGGTCAATGCAACCTTCTTGTCTAGAGAACCATCTGACAATGTTTAAAGGCACGTCCTGCTGCGAGGAAAGACCTTGAAAATAGCAGAAGATATTTTGTGTCCAAAGCATAACTCCTGCAGAGCAGACCTCATGAGGAGGTCTGCCCTGCTAGCTTAATAGGCATAAGTAAAATTTGCATGTCTAATAGCCATACATCCATATGTTGATATGGCCATGAATAAAGACAAAGTAGCTTTATTTTTAGCAGTACCTCTAAGGATTGCTGTTCTCTAACTCATGAGCACATTTGAAAATTTGAGAAACTGCCCTGGACATAAAATGGCTGCTGTAGGTGGGCACGGCTAGTCACAAAGGAAAAATAATCTGCCCAGAGGCATTAATGGGAAATCAAGATGGCAGCAACTAGAGGGTCTATCTTTGTTTTGAGGCAATGCCAGCTGTCAGTTATAATAAATAAAAACTGGGGGGAGTAGGTTGTCTCGATGGGCACCAAAGAACATGTCTGTCAGCACCATGTTGCCTGTCCCTACCCTAATTCTATTCCCTTACAGACAACATTGATAGTTCCTTTCTTTCTAGTCTGATTTGGAATACAAGATAAATGCTACTACCTCCATGCATTTTTCCTGAACCCAGCAATTTTAACTGCTCCCCTGATATAATTTTCATTTTATCGTAGAGACCATCTTCTTTCCTTTTCATTTAAAGCTTTTGCTCATCCCTTGCACATACTTTGAAAATAGTCATTTTCCTATCCACATTCAGTTTGCTTTGTGTTGGTTGGTAGCTGTTAGCTACAATGGCACCTTCATATTCAAAGGAACTATACTCCTGCATACCAATTGGAATTTTTTGGTGTAACAGAAAGAGATCTGGTTTCTTGAACAGCAATAATGCATCTTTTTCCACTTTTCTGCTAACCATCAGTGCTTTTAAAACTCCTAATGAGCAGCAATATGGATGGAATTCTGGAGGCTATTCGAGTCTTTGGTAATCTTTCTCAATACCAAGAAATTTGTGACTTCATTATACAGCGAAAGGGTGAGTTACTATCCCATTAAGTGATCAAGCCATATAGACTAGAACTAGACTTGTAAGTGGAGTGTTGTTTGTTCATATTTTAAAAGTCCGAGATTGATAATGTGATCTACACAGTAAGGGTGTGATTTTGAAAGCATATGGACTTCTGCACAAGAGGGTTCAGTTCCAGATGCACTCACCATAGTCCTTAGGATTAAAATCTGAGGTAGTCTCCTTCTTTGGCCCCCTAAGCTTGAAGGGCATTCTAACGTTATCAGATTAGGTAATTTCAGTTAGAGGGTTAGCAACAGCGAAGTGTAGCTGATTAGTAAAATACATTTTACTATATTTGCTATACTGAAGGGTAACTCAAGTTTTATTCCAGTGTTTTTCAACATTAGACACCTATGAGTATCTCCTTTGGAGCAGCAGTGCAATATTTCAGTAATGCACCAGATACCATTTCTAGATAGTTATAAGTGCTTCAAACTCTGCACATAACTTGTCTAATGAATACTGTACAGATGCTTCAAGACAAATTTGTTCTCTGACATAGTGGCTCCTTCTTGTACTCTCTAGTGTACAAGTTCATGATTGCATTGCTTGATGCTAAACACCAAGACATCTGCTTTTCGGCCTGTGGAGTTCTTCTCAACCTTACTGTGGATAAAAGCAGGCGTAGTATACTGAATGAAGGAGGAGGAATCAAAAAGTGAGTTCAAAAAGTGATCATGAATAGACACTAAAGGATAAAATGCCTGATTTTTGTGAAATTAGCATTGTGGGGAGGGGAGAAATAGGAGTCCAGCATATATTTTTTTTCCTACAAGATTCTATATATTCAAGTTTGCTGACTTTTAATGACAGCTACAAAACTGTTTATTTTAACTTTCCCCCCATTAATACAAAAGGTTAATCGATTGTTTGAAAGACTTTGGGCCAACAGACTGGCAGCTGGCTTGTTTGATATGCAAAACTTTGTGGAACTACAGTGAGAACATTACTAGTGCTGAGTCCTGCTTTGCAGAGGATGATGCAAACACCCTGGTGATTCTCCTTGCATCATTTTTAGGTAAGCTGAAAAGCCAGTCTCACTATGCGTCCTTGATGACTGGAATAAAAACAAGGAGTGTTCAGTAACTGCCTTATACCAGGACAGACTCTTTTGTCCATCTAGCACAGTACTGCCTGCTCTGATGGCAGTGGCTTTCTTAGAATATTTTTTACAGTTCTGGTTATTCCCTCTCAAAAATGTATCAGACTTTAGACATAAGATGGCTACCACATCTTCCCTATGAAAAGCTGGATGGAAGAGAGTCTAAGCAAGGGTCATGGTGGAAGTTAAGAAAATCATGAAAATCATAGAGGGAAAGAGAATATTTTCTTTCTTCTCTTATACTATTAAAAAATTCTGGCCTTCTTACTTACCTAGTGAAGTAACCTCGGAACAGATGAAAGTATTTCTTAGAACACATAGCTCTTCATGGTCTCTGGGCTGTGTGGCTGTGCAGAGCCTCATTCAGGAAACCTTGCTAGCTAAGCAATCTAGGCGTGAATTCCTTCTTTCAAGCCCAGTATGCATGTCCCCCAGCATCTTCCTACCCTTTCCCTCAGTTCCTTTTCAACAGCCATTCTGGTAGCCTTGAAGGAAACTTCTCTTGTCCCTAACTTTTGTTCATCTTCTTATCTTTCAAGATTAAGCTTTCAAGAACTAATATGTTCTAATATGAGGTAATAACCACTTTAAAGTCAAAATCGATTCTGTTCAGTGGACCTACACCCTCTCAAAGTGCTATACCTCTAGCACAGGGCTCTCAAACTCAACTTACCTGGGGGCCGCTGGAAGTAGCGTCTGGGTGAGGCTGGGCCGCATCAAGTATTCCACCACGGCGGTGGTGGTGGGCCACTCATCCCGCATCGCTCCCGCAGGCCGGTCCGGGCACCGCCGGCGCTTTGAAGGCCGCAGGGCCCCTCCCCCGTGCCCCACCCGTCCAGGCACTTGGCCCGCGGGCCGCGAGTTTGAGACCTCTGGTCTAGCAGATCCACCTTACAAACCTGCTTAAAAACTAATGGAGGCAGACACAGTCCCAGACAGGTGATCTTCCTTCTTCTCTGCCAGCCCCTCTCCACTTGCAGAATCTTGTTCCCCTGATTTGCACTCCATCACCATCTTGAAAGCTTTCAGTGATGCTTCATGCCCTTATAATGGAACTCTTTGAATCATGCAACAACATATTTATGGCTCGTCTTCATGTTCCTCAATGCAATAAAGGTCTGGTGAATTTTGTGCCATACAAATATATCCTGCTACATGATCTTCCATATGGACAAGGTTGTCCTCCTTCTGGAGTTGGTGTCTGAAGAAATAAAAAGATGATGGCAGCCCGATCTCAGGTGGAAGTGAGTTCCACAGTTGGGGAACTATAATGGAGAAGGCCCTTCTCCTTGCCATCTCCCCTTTTACTCCATTAGGGGAAGGGCCTCAGATGGCAACGGCAGTGATCAGGTTGGTACATACGGAGACAGCCTTAGTCTAAGTCTCCCTTAGATAGTCTTGACATTATGGTGACAAGAACAAAGGGCTGCCTATATCAGTGCAGTGATTAGTGTTCTGGATTGTTCAAACAGGCTGGTCTACCATGTGCCAGTAGTAGAACTCTTGGATCAGTTAAGCGCCCATTCCATACAAGGAATGAGCGCCACTGTTGCATTTGGGAGAGGTGCCCTCTTACCAATTTGTGCCATGCTGCAATGGAGGCAAAGCTGTCTACTTTTATCTGGCATTACAAGCTAGATGTACACTCCTGAGCTGACTGCTTTTTTGGCTGAACAGTCTTTGCTTCAATATTGCAGTAATGACATCACCCCATCTCCAGTGAGTTACTTAGCTTGTTACTTGCCCATATGTGTGATGCACAGAGACTGCAAAGGAGAAAGCCAGGTTGCTTAACCTTCAACTGTGACTCTTAAGTGATAGTATGTACATCCACCCAGGAGCCCTACTATGATGTCGAACTTGAACTTGAGGACTGGAACCAAAATCTGTTTCTCTCTTACTGTTACACCTGTGCTGATGTTAGTACTGAACTACTCCTTTGGTTTTCAGGCCACATTTGGTAGTTTCAGAGAAACTGGAGCTGGCATGAATCCATGGGATAGATGTATATTGGGACAGTAGGAGAGGGGGTTCCCAGCTCAATTTCTCAGCTAGAGATGTTTTCTGAAGGGAGGCTCCATATAGGTGCAGATACGTAAATACATAGTGGACCACTCAAAGAACAACAGTTACACATATGCAACCCATCTTTATTTAGGGAATCTGCCCAAGACATGGTAATGGACAGTGGGCTCTAAATGGAGATTAGAGAAATTCATGGGGTATAGCTCTAGTTAACAGCTATTCACTGTAATGGTGTCATCTTTTTCAGAAGAATATGCCTTTGAGTATCAGTAGTAGCTATTGCTGTTGTAGTTGTTGTTATGTTAATTTTTATACCACCCCTTAGCCATAAAAAGCTATCAGGGCAGGTTACAAAATAGATGAAAGCAATATACAAGATCCAATAAAATACAATATGAATGTACAAGAATTCATATTGAACAGAATCAGAACTACATGAGGCAATACATACAATTTACATAATTTATAAAATTCCTAAAGCAATAACAGCAATACAAAATAATTCAACAATTCATTATCATCATGTAGCCTAGAACTGCAAACCACCCACCCAACTGGCCAACAGCCAGTCTCAAGCCCAAGCAAGCATTGAACGGGAAGTAATGGGTAATGCCCGTTAACCACTGCTCTGGACCACCACCCAGAAATAGGCCAGCGTGATAGGAATGTCTTTTTCAGAGTAGCCACCTACAAATGGCCACAGCTGGTGCACCACTGCTCTCCTCTTGTTCTCAGTATTTAACCAGGTTAGTCCCTGCCACCGACTGATCTGGCACTGCATCTGGATGGTCCATGGGGTGAGGATCTCTCTGGCCAGCTGGACAGGCAGACTGCAGAAACAGGCCAGTGTGATGGGAGGGGCTGCCTCAGAGTAGCTGCCTGGAGGCAGCCACGGCTGGCACACCCCCACTCTGCTGCTCTCCCCTCCCTCTCCTAGCACTCCTCCACGTCAGTCCCTACCACCGACTGACCTGGGGCTGAGACTTGATGGTCCATGAAGCGAGGGTCTCTCTGGCCAGGCTGTTGGTGGAGATTAAACAGAGATGCAGCAGGACGCTGTGAGGTCCTTACAATGCCATGTTAGAATATTGTAGAAGTTTTTAAACAGTGAGCACCTCATAACCACTGCAGACTTTTTAACATTAATCTTGGCTATTGCAATGCTACTGCCAGCAACCCCACTGGAGGGGAGGAGAGCTTGAACTTGGGACCAGATCACAAATGGCCACAAGAGATAACTCTATGCATACTGGTAGAATCATAACACTTATAATTGCTTTATCCTTGAAATTTGGGTTGGTACTTGTTCTGGTAGACACAACAGAAACTGCACTGTTTAGATATGCTATTTCCTTGCTTGACTACATAAAGCCCATTGTGAGATAGTCCAGTGACTTGGCTGAGCAATATATGCAGAGGAACTGAATGCTTGATAGCCTAAACCCTAAGGTTAAAAGAATGAACTTGTACATATTTCATGTTGAGCTGTCCAGATATAAAGCCAGGACCTAGTTCACGTGCCACTGCAGGAGCTACGAGAAACTTTCCATGTGTTAGTACTCAGCTAGCTTCAACTTTTGCAGCTCACACATGCAGAATGTGCCACTCATATTGGCACTATTCTTGCTCCTTAGCTGTGCATACTAGAAACAAAGTCCTTTATATAGTAGCCAAAGTACACAGCCAGCTTTTACACAGATAGTTATGTGAATAACTTTTTAAGCACATAATTGTTTTAATATGGACTGATACGTACTTTACTTCTCTTACTGCAGATGAAGAATTAGCGCTGGATTACAATATTGACAGTGATTTAAGAGATTATCACAAACTTTATTGGGAAACGGAGTTCAAACCTGTGGCACAGAAACTTCTTCAGAGAATTCAAAATTAAAACACTTTTCCTTAAATCCTTCATCATTACTTCATTTTGAGGTGGGTGTTGTACATACCCATATAAAGACATTTCAGCAGCTATTTATGCAAAGCATTTCATCGTGCCGTTTCCATGGAAAATGACTTTATAAAAGATTCTTTACAAATAGCTTGTACATTCATCATAGAATACTTATTTGCAGTGGCATTTAAGGTTATGAAAATAAACTGGCTGCATCT